TGGGAGTGGCTTGTTTAGAAGACCAACACATGCCTGCTCCCTCTCTGTGGCTTTGCTGCCCTCCAGTCTCTGGTGGACAGGTGTCACCCTGCCCTCTTGGTGAGCAAAAACAGGGAAAACATTCCCTGCCCTGTAGAGCGTCTATGCACAGAACATTTGTACATCCATTACAGTCTTTGACTTAGAACACCTGACGAGAATGGGGAACCTGGGTTAGTGGGGAGCTGTGAGTTCTGGCTCCTTCTGGGTATAGTCCAGTTTGTAGCCACTGTCAGCAGTGGGCTACCCTTGGAACCCTTCCTCCTTTCCCTCACTCCCTTCCCCTCCTCTCTACTTTTCTCCTGCACAGTTGTCTTCTGTACCCTCTTTGTTTCCTCTTCTCCTCATCAGCCAAGACCCCCACAAATAATGTTCAGCTCTTGGGGAATCCCTTTTAGGCTTGAAGGACCAGAGCCCTTAGGTCAGGATGGCTGTGACTATGAGCATCAGTGACTCTGGATCAACTAGACCTGGTATCAGCTGGTCTGGTACATACTAGAAGCAGGGGTGGGCACTTGGCAACAGAGGACTGGAACTCCCATCACAGCTCTCCTGTTACCTTAGGCGCTTATGCCTAGACTCTGGATTCATTTTCTCAGCCTTAAAGAGGATTAATAATGCCTGTGTCCAGGGTGGCTGTGAGAGTTAGGGTTAGCTGAGCTTGTGGTGGTATGTTTAGATGTTCAATAAAGGTTCATTAGCTGTGCAGCCCTTCAAATATAGAACCCTCCCAAGGGCTGGATTTGAAAATATCAGGGCCTGTGCTGACTAATAAAACCCTGGAAGCACTGGACGCACGGCCAGGTAGGTGTGGGACAGGGGCTGTCACTGGGCGGAGGTTGTGCCTTGTTTTCTCCCCTCAGGCATCAGCCTCCTGCCCTGGACCAGCAGCTGGACCCAATTAATGTTTGTCTCTTTATGATGTTGATGGATCATCCTGTAACATTCCAGGGCCTAATGAGGGGGTGCAGGTTGCTGGGCAGTGAGTCCTGGAATTTCCCTGCCTTCGGCCCGCCCTGGAAGGAATAGTGATTTTTAAAGCTATGAAGCCCAGAGTGACTTCTCTTAAAACAACCTGGGTCAGCTCCAGTGTCAACAGAGGTCCAAAGCCTGATCTGCTGAGGTTCAAGAAAGACAAGTCAAGTGTCACCCACAATGGGAGATTGAGGGTCAGTGGGGGACAAAGTGCAAGAGGGACCCAAGGTCAGGAAAATCTGGTTCTGCCCAGAAGTCAGGGAAACTTCCAGAACTAGAAACTTGGAGAAGAGAAATAGATGGACTTTCAAATACCAGCTTATTGCCTCTCCTTCCAAGGACCACACTTGGATAGTAGCAAAGGGACTGAAATGTTTTAAAGGCAAATGTTGCAGGCAATGGGCATGTCAGCGGTGGACTACACCAGTGGAGGTTTATGGAGCAGAACAGCTGAGGGAATGGCAGGTGAGGAGGAAGCCACAGCCAGTGTGGGTGGAGAGGTGCCACCTTCTTAACAGAACTCCAACCTGAATGCTGCTTAGAAGCGTTCAGGTAGGAAGTGAGACAGGTATGAAATGTGGGAGTGAGAGGCAGGGAGTTGTCTGAAAACCAGCGTAACAGCTTCTGCTTCAGATCATTTAAAGAGATGACAAGGTCCTGCACAAACACTCTGCAAACGTTCTGGCTTGTAGAGATACCCAGGATAACCCTCCAGGCTAGGTGAGGTGGTACAGACCTGTGATTCCAGCACTTGGGAGGCTGAGACAGGAGGATCATGAGTTCCAGGCCAGCCTGGGCTATATACTGAGACTCTATGTAAAACAAACAAACAAACAAAAAAACAAAACAACAGCAACAACAACAACAACAAAAAAGCAGACAGCTTGCTACCGGCAGTCCAAAATAACTCTTGCTTTCAGTAACTTTTGTGCGTGTGCACAGAACTCCCAAAGTCACTTGTATTTCTTGCTTCACTTTTAAACTGTGAACTAACAACCAAGGGTTTAAGAGGAACAAGCAACAAACAACAAATGAATCTCAGAGCAAACACATAGATGTTAAAAATTATATATTATAGCTAAAAATTAACTATAAGAAGTAGTTTTGCCTAGTAAATATAAAAACTTAGAGATAGCTGGGTGTGGTGGCATACACCTTTAATTCCAGCACTCAAGAGGCAGAGGCAGACCAATTTCTGAGAGATCAAGGCCAGCCTGGTCTACCTAGTGAGTTCCAGGACAGCTGGGTCTACAGGGAGACCCTGTCTCGAAAAGACTAAGAGAAGAGAAAGAAAATTTAGAAATAAAATGGACAATTTCTTTAAAAAATAATGTAACAAAAGTGAGGGAATAAAAAATTTGAATAGCTCTACAGCCACCAGGAAAAAAGTCAGTGGTTACAAATAAACTGCACACACAGGCATACACTCTATGGTCACCAGACTGCAAAGTGACTCCATTGATCTCTGCTTCTGGAGAGTCGTACTCTTGCACACTGCTGTCCCAAACTGTAGACTGGTCCATGAGGCCAGCAGGGGAGTGTGGAAGTGATGTGCGTGGTGCTCTGGGCTAGAGCGTAAAGGAATAGAGCAGACTTCTACTTTGAGCTTTCTCTTGAGTTTCATTCCTGGGAAGCCATATCCTGCATAAGGACACTCAAGTACCCTTCACGAAGACATTACTCTGGTTCAGATGTAGTGTGTGCCCCTGAATGTCTTGGAAGCCTGGTTCCCAGAGTAGCAGTATTGAAGAGATGGGACCTTTAAGAGGTGGGGAGATGGCTGGGTCACAGGGTCCCAACAGGAGGACTAGAGTCCCCCCCCAACTTTCTCCCTCCCTCTCCCCTTCCCTCCCTCTCTTTTCTTCCTCTCTGACATTTCTCTCTAGATCATTTTTATGATTAAAAACTTCTTGATTCTGTTTGTTTTCCTTGACTTTCTCTTTTTGAAATTTAGAATTTTACTTTAAGTATTTTGGTTAAGAACTTTTTATTTTAAGTCTATCTTAAAGTAGAATAGTGATTATTAGGGACAGGGGCTAGAGGTACAGTGGAAGAAGATTGGTTAGACATAATATGTGCTGTATGTGTGTATATAAATAACCCACTGAACCTCACTAATATGTATATTTTAATGTGTTAATGATTTTTTAATTTTTACTTATTTTTTGTTTTATGTGTTTTGTCTGCGTGTATGTAGGTACACCATGCACATGTAATGTCTGTGGAGGCCAGAAGGGGTGTCAGATCCCCTGGAGCTGTAGTTATATTGATAGCTTATAGCTGCCATATGGAAGGTAGGAACTAAACCCAAGTATTCTGCAAGAGCAGTCAGTGTTCTTAACCACTGAGCCATGTCTCCAGTCCCTTAATAAAAAATTTGGAAGAACAGTTAGGCATGGTGGCTCATGCCTGTAATCTACACACTCAGAAGACTGAGGCAGGAGGAGATCCACAAATTTAGGCTACCCTGGGTTACAAATCCCCTGTCTCAAAAAAAAAATTCTTTAAGTAACAACGGTGGGGCATGGTGGTGGTACACCTTTAATCCCAGCACTCAGGAGACAGAGGCAGGCTGCTCTCTGTGAGATCAAGGCCAGCGTAGTCTACAAAGTGAAATCTAAGCCAGTTGGGGCTACAGGGAGATCCTGTCTCAACAAAACAAAACAAAACAAGGGTTAGAGAGATGGCTCAGTGGTTAAGAGCACTAGCTACTCTTGGAGAGGTCCTGGGTTCGAATCCCAGGACCCACAACAACTAACAACCATCTGTAACTCAAGTTCCAGGGGAATTCAATACCCTCTTCTGACCTCCATGGGCATTGCATGACACAGGTACACTTATATACATGTAGGCAATACACTCATACACATAAAATAAAAATAATATTTTTAAAAGACTGTAACAGGAAGCAACTGTTGAAGTTATTGCCAGATATAAGATAACCATATCTAAGGGCTGGAGTTATAGTTCAATGATAGGGTACTTGCTCAGCATGCGCGAGGCTCTGAGTTTGATCGCCAGCACAGAAAATTTGAAGAGTTAAACAACAATATCACAAGCAACCAGAAGACAATAAGGAAGAAACAGACAAAAAAACCATAATTGGAAAAAGATATTCATAACATATGTAGATCAGTATCTGTATGAAAAGAATTCCTACAAATCAATAAGAAAAAGACTAAATGACCCAGTGTGAATCGATCAGTGTGTATGTGCAGATAATTCCCAGAGAAAGAAATCTGGGTTTAAAAACATTTGAAAACAGGGGAGGGGCCCTGATGGGAGGGGGAGAAGTCCAAATTTGGTTAAGATCTATTATATGCAATGCACAAAACCTCAATTAAAAACTGAGAAAAATTTGAAAACTAAACTTCACTACCATAAGAAAACCATAAGGAAACCATAAGATAAAGCAACAATGAGAGAATTTTAGGGCAAAGAGATGGCTCAGTGGGTAAAAGTGTTTCTAGATGACTTTTTGATCCCTGGAACCCACATAAAGGTGGAGACAGAACTGACTTCATGAAGTTGTCCTTTGATCTCCACATGCACACTGTGGTATACACATACATGCACCCTTACCCACACTATAATAATAAAATAAGACAAAATTATTTCATATCTATCAGATTGACTAAAATTTAAAAATCAAACATTAGCTGGACAGTATGTCGTGTATAAGTACTAAAAAGAATTTTAAAAAACCACTTTGATTCATCAACAAGAGTTAAATGATAGTACATTTATTCAATAGACTATTACAAAAATATCAAAGTAAACTAGAGCCAAATATATCATACTGAAAAATCTCAAAAGTACTTCAACTTAGAAAAAACCTGGAGAATTCTATATACAGGTTAGTCTCATGTAAGTAAAAATTGGAAATGTGTAAAGCATACAAGCACAAATAGGGATGCAAAGCACATTTATTAAGTCATTGATCTCTAAAAAAGAGGGAATAAAAATTTTAAAAAGTAGTTGGGAAACAGATACACACAGGAGCTTTCAACATTATCTGTTTATTTGATGCTGTTTTAAAAAAATCAAAGCAAATATACCAACATATAAACACTTCATAAAACTAGCTGAATGTCCCAAGCTGTCCTCTTTTCTGAATGTTTCTGAGTGTCTTGGAGTTTGGGAGCGATGCTGTGGTTGGAGGGACCCTAGAACATAACCCCATGGAAGTGAGCATTTTGTTTCACGCATGACTCTGACACTCCACTTAACAGAGTGCCTGGTGCAGAGTAGGTACTCGGCAAGTACCAACCAGTATTTACCAGTTATCAATGAAGCAGCACATGCAAAGGCAGTGGGTAATGTTAGCACACAGGATTCTGGAAGTGCCAATCAAAACAGCTCCCTTCTATTGGGCCCCAAGGACCAGCCCCTTTCTTTATTTGGCAGGGATCACCTCACCCCATCCTTGCTGCAGTGGTAGGGACCCTGTTACCCTTACTCCACAGGTAAGGAAACAGCTTTGGCACTAGGAAGCCTGACTCAGCAAGTAGTGGTTAGAACTGAGTCTGTATTCCACCAAAAACACCCGGGTTTTAAGCTGTAGATCGTTTCAAACATTGGAAATAAACAAGACAAGGGCTGGCCAAGGAGCTTACAGTGCAAGAGGCTCATTAGACAGATACCCTAAAATCACATGTTGGATCAAATAGAGGGTGCCCCGTGCCTGAGGGAAACTCACCCAGCAGGAAGCACATAGTGGGCACATAGGAAAGGCTTCACAAAGGAGGAGAAGGTTGAACTTGGCTCTGAAGTACATCTTATAGATGCCAGGATCCTGCTCTTCCTCTCCCATATCCATATGGTGCTGTTGGGAGGATCCACGGCTGTGGGCTGTGAGCACATAGCCTGACCATATAGGACTGAGGCCATCCATAGATGAAGACAGACAGGTTAGAATAGAACCTTCAGTTCGCTAAGGTTTGCTCTTACTTTTATACCCACACCCAGGGGGGGAAAGAAAAACCAACTCAAAGCTCTTCAGAAATTGTGATGCCAGCAGAATGTGGTGGCCCAAGCCTATAATCCCAGAATTTAGGAAGCTAAGGGAGGAGGATCTCAAGTTCAAAACTAGTCTGAGCTAAATAGAATGAGAGAGAGAGAGAGAGAGAGAGAGAGAGAGAGAGAGAGAGAGGGAGAATGATGCCAATAATAACTGCATGCTCTTTAACAACTATCATTCATTGGACATGCATCAAATGCAGGGCACTGGGTTAAGTCTTTATCCGTTTTACTGCCTGTAATTCTCATAGCAACTCTAGGAGGCAGGTACTGTTTTGTCCCCTTTCAGGGAGGAGGAAACTGAGGTTTACACAAGTGTGAACAAAATTCTCCAGGGTTAGTAAATGGTGGTGCTGGGACTGAACCCACAGTTGTCAGCTTCCAGCCCATGTATTTAACCACTGCCTCTCACAAGCACAGACAGCCAATTAAGGCAACAAGGGTTTAATTGCTTTCAATTGGAAGGATAAATGAGAATGTGATACAAGCACAGTAAACTGGGAACCAAGCTGATCATTACATTCATGAACACTTGTCACATGTTGGCGGCTCCATAAATGCTTGGGAAATGAGGTGGCATTTACGTCTAGGAAATGGGAACCAAATGATATATTTTCCCTATGCAAAGGAAGTGGAAACACCCAGGCAGTGACTGAGACTTGCTGAGTGGCTTCCCAAGCCTCCGGTGGCACAGGCTTCTCCAAATGAGCTCCTGAACCCCCCTCAGCCCAGGCTGTGGCCCGGTGGGGAACTTCTAGCTCTCCCTCAATTCTGTTTCACTGGCATTGCTGTGCCCCAGGTAATAACTCGCCCTCCTCGCTCAGCCTATCATAAAAGGAGGCTTGCCCTGAAACTCTTCTCTGAATGAATGGAGTCTAACACAAATGAGAACTACCGGCAAGAATTCTCCTTTCAAGTAGGAGATACAGAGAGCACGCTTTCTCTTGTTGTCTCTGGGACCCAGGGTTCATTTTATGCAGGCAATCCTTTTAGAAACATTTACCCAACCCTTGCTGTGTGACCCTGCTGTGTACAGGAGAGATCCTACCCACGAGGAGGTATGCTCCCAAACTCAGAAACCGAGAAATAGCCCATCTCCTCCAGGCACCCAGTCCGTGTCCCCCCCCCCCCCCCCCCCCCCCCCAAGCACACAGAGCCTTTCTGAATGACATCTCAGCCTCACTTGCTCTTTTAATGTTAACATTCCTCATGTACAGCAACTGATTAAAGTTAAGCTACACATGCTCTTAGGTCCAGTAACAGGCTAGCAAGCAGGCCTGCATTACAAACGGAGAGGGGAGAGAGACTGTGGGGTAGAGGGGGGGAGGGAGAAAGAGGGTGAGAGGGAGGGGAGATAGGGAGAGCGAAAGGGAGGGGAGGAGGAGGCGTGGACAGAGGGGGAAGAGGGCAGCGGCCTAGAGGCATTCTCCTGGGGCCTAGGATTTTCCTGGGCGCAACACTGGTCACGTTTGAATTAGTCACACGTTCGTTTCCATTACCCAAACAAGAGCCTCTCTCTGATTAATGCTCGAAAGATCCGGCCGATTTTAATCATGGCAAACACGATGATGCCGGTTACAACGGCCTGAGCTACTAAAAGCAGAAAGTAAAGCCCCCAATAGAGACTATGATCTGGACGTTCACCTGTGGCCACCAGCTGCACCCAAGGCCAGGACGGCGAGCTGTTGGGCAGCAGGGACGCGGCAGGTGCTTCCAGAGAGTTCTGGGTTGGAGGGCTGGGAGGCGGGCGGAGAAGCGGGCCGCGAGGGTCGGGGCACCATGGGTCACCCTGCACCACGTCCCGGAACTCCAGGCCGGCGCGCGGCTCGGGGCCGCCGCACCGCGGGGGCTGGTCTCCGCCCAGGAGGGTCGGGTGCCGCCGTAGCCACTGGAGGAAGGGCCATAGGCCACAGTCGCAGAGCCAGGGGTTGCGGCCCAGCAGGATCTGCCTCAGCTGGGGCAGGGCCTCGAACAGGTCTCCGGGAAGGGCCTCCAGCTGGTTGTGCTCCAGCTGCACGGTCTCGAGGCTGCTGAGGTTGCGGAAGAGCGCGCGGGGCAGGGCGCGCAGCCGGTTGTGGCACAGCGACACGTGTCGCAGGTGGTCCAGGCCACGCAGCACGTCGCCGGGGAGCGCGCCCAGCCGCGGGTTCCGCGTCACCCCCAACACTCGCAGGCCGCTCAGGTTGCGGAAGGCGGCGGCGGGCAGCGTGCGCAGCTGGGTGCCGTTCAACCACAGCTCCCGGAGGCCCGCCATCTCCCCGAACAGCACGTCGGGCAGCTCCTCCAGAGGGTTCTCGAACAGGGTCAACCAAGTCAGGCTGCTCGAGTGGAGAAAGAGCGCGGGGGGCAGGGACTGCAGGCGGTTTCTGGAGAGGGTCAAGGAGTTCAGGTTTCCCAGGCGGTCGAAGGCACCGGGTGCGATGGAGCGGAGGTGATTCCTGTCCAGATGTAGTTCCTTCAGGGCACTCAGGGGGTCCAGCAGCCCGGAATCCACAGACGACAGCTGGTTCGAGTGCAGCAGGAGTTTCTCAAGTTTCCTCTGCGCCCCAAGCAACCCCTTGGGCAAGTGGGTCAAGTTGTTTCCCGATAAATCCAACAACTTCAGCTTGCCCAGGTTTGTGAAAAGGTTAGCAGGAAGGAAAACGAGTTGATTCTGGTTCAGATAGAGCTCCTGCAGGTTAACCAGTTTCTGAAACATATTTTGGTCAATGCCCTTTAGTGCATTGTGGTCCAAGAACAGCTGTTCCAAGAGCACCATCTTATCAAGGAGCGAGCCTGAAAGATGAGTGATTTTGTTGCGCGACAATTTGAGGGTTTTTAGTTTTATCAAGTCATTGAAGGTGCCTGGGGCGATGTCAGAAACGTGGCTGTCTGAAAGCATCAGGCGCTGCAAGACCGTCATGCCACTGAAGCTGTGGTTCTGCAAGACCCCCTGGCCCATTCGGAAGAGCAGGATGTGTGTGAGGTTGGTGGGCAGGCCCAGAGCAGCGATGTGTGCCACACTGCCGCCTGAACACTGGGCGGCATCGCGGACCACACACTTGCAGGCCTGTGGGCAGAAGGGCTGGGCACGCAGGAGTCCAAGCACCGCGCACAATAGAGCGCACCTGAGCATCTCTGAAAGGAAAGGACACAAGGCTGGGAGCAGATCTTGGAGCCCTGCACTGGCTGTTTACATAAGTTCTTTAACCATGAGTTCACGGCCTTGGGATGTTGTCCAGATACAATCTCTTTCCTTGGAGGGTCAACATCCCAGGTGGTGAAAACATATTTTACAACAGATCTCATTCTTTCACGTTATTACTTTTCTAGGCAGTTTACCTGGGTGCTAGAAATTCGAACCCAGATCCTCATTCATGCAGGGTAAGCATTAGCCCCAGCCGTCAGTTTACAACATTGAAATTTGGGTGCTTTCCAGCTATAGACAAGCCAATACTTTGAAATCTTTACATAAGAGAATGGGTGAAAACCATAATCACTGACATTCATCACAAAGCAGTACCCACTGAAAACAGGCAGTGCTCCTGATTCTGACTTCACCAGAGTCGGCCCTTGATTCTACCCAACAGTCAGGAAGGGAACAGCAAAGTCTGCACCCACTTCCACCTGATTCCTTTTCTTACAATCATGCTATTATCAAAGTTCCAACACCCCACAACTGCAAACACCTGCCAGTAGCTGCCAAGCTCAGTTGAGCTGGTTATAATGCCAGTGGCTTTATGCATATTTCCCTGCACTTTAGTGTTATAGTATGAGGGTACCAGGACACCAAGGCACATGAAGCAAAATAATTTAGGGTCATAAAAATAGAATTTCGAGGTACTCTTTCTGACTCACATTTAAATAAAGCTAAGATGCTTAATAAAAATACTTGGAGCACTGAGTTACCTGGGAAATACACACATTAATACTAGTCTGCCCAAATAATGTTTCTCAAGTAAACTATTATACTGTTTCTTATACTAGATTTTTTTTATGCACCCACAAAGACTGAGCCCTGTAATTGCCTATACTAATTTTAAGAATATTTGGCCTTACCTGATGCAGTTGTACACCCCGAAGTGACTGAAAGGCTTACAGTTGTGCATGTGACTCTGCATTTTCTAGAGGAAGAGGAGGGTATTCTTGCATCCTGGGGATAAAGACCTTCCCAGAATAAAGTCAAGGAAAAGCCTCTATCTCAGAGGGCACATTGTAGGGTTTTTTTGGGGGGGGCTCTTTTGAGATAGTGTCTCCCTGTGGCTCCAGCTGACCTTGAACTCATAGAGATCCGCCTGTCTCTGCCTCCCAAGTGCTGGAATGAAAGGTATTACTACGCCACTACAGACCTGGTTCATAGTCTAGTTTTTAATGACAATTTTCAAACTGTGAGACCAAATATAACTCTAGTCCTACTGTCAAAGCCAACTGATAAGCAGGCAGGAGAGGGTTTTGCAAAAATGGCACAGTATAACTGATACAATAGTGTCATGTTTGGGTCATTGCAACAGCCACACCAGTAGATAGACCACATTATCTTTGCATGTTACATTGTGCCAACTCTCTCAAGTCCACTTTGAAAACAATACATTTGCTTGGTGTATGTATATGGTACACACATGCCATGGCTACCCATGTGGTCCAGAAAGCAACTTATGGTCAGTTTTCTCCTTCATGTGGGTCCAGGGATAGTTGTCAAGTTTGGCAGCAAGCACCTTTATCTGCTGAGCCACTGTCCAATACTTAAAAAAAGGAAAGGTTTAGGACATCCTCAAAATGTTTTCTTAATGACTGGGCTAGACATGTCAAACATGTTCAATAATTGTGTTGCTGGAGTGCACGTGTTCAGTTTGACATGTCAAATCCCTGCTCCCGCTTGGTATTCTGTCATTTATACTATTCTCAACGTGGTTTTAATCCTGCATTTGTTTAATGAAGCTGACCTTTCTTGTAATGAAGGGCCACTTGTGTGTCATCTGAGAAGTTTAGCCCCCATTTTTCCCGCCTCTGGTTCTGAGACCATAGTCTTGCTATATGGCCCAGGTTAGCTTCAATGTAAGATTCTTCAGCCTTAGTCTCCTGAGTTTGTGGAGCACAAGAGTGCACCACAAGGCCCAGCTCTGCTCATTTTCTACATGCAACTATAAAGTAGGCATTCTATATCCTGGCTATTAATTCCTTATCAAGTCATTAACTGTTAAATGTCAACTACTTTTGTCTTTTTACCTTTTTGCTGCCTTTAGATAGAAGTCAAATGGGTAATTAGTGTTGCTTATCTTTTATGATTTGTGCTTTTTGTCTTTTAAAGTAAATCCTCCTCCCCTCAAGTCAGAAAACATTCCCCTATATTCCTTTAAAAGGGTTTATATACTCATCTTTGGCATTCAGTTCTGATCTCCAGGGAATAGGCAGATCTATCATCTATCTATCTATCTATCTATCTATCTATCTATCTATCTATCTATCATCCATCCATCCATCTAGTGAAATTATAGCCCAGCGTGGTGGCGCATGCCTTTAATTCCAGCACTCAGAGGGCAGAGGCAGGCAGATCTCTGAGTTTGAGGCCAGCTTAGTCTCCATAGTGAATCCAGGCCAGCTGCAGCTACAGGGAGACCTTGTCTCAAAAAACCAAAAATCACAAATTTCAACAAAAATAAAGTGAAAAATAATTCTTCAACTCCTTAATAAACATTCAGGAGTTGGGGAGACAGCAAAACGCTTGCCCTGCAAGCATGGGGACTGATCTGATTAGTAGCCAGCTTAGCCTATTTGGTGAGCTTCTGGTGAAAGACAGCCTTATCTCAAATGACAGCCTAAGGTTTATTTTTGGCATGTGTACCCATACAAACACATTCACCTCTGAAAATACAGAATGGAGTGGTAGAGAAGTGCTTCTCAAATTCTATACAGGTTGGGAAAGCCACCCTCAATATGACATTAGATGCTAGAGAAAAGACCCCCCCCCTTCTCTGAAATAGTCTATGTAGTCCAGGCTGGCCTTGAATTGGCTAGCCTCTAGCCTCCTTGGCTACCTGACCTTTCTTGAGACTTTTTTTTTTTTTTCCCTGAGCTGGAGATTGAACCCGGGACCTGTATATTCCTACACGCTACTAGGCAAGCTCTCTACCACTGATTTACCTCTCCAGCCTCAAATCTCATCAATCTTTGATATGGCCAAGTGCAACCAAGTCCTACCAGAGCTGGCCTAACTGAAATCTAATCACAGTTCTGAACTACAAGCTAGAAACACTGCCTTTGTAGGTACAGTGGGATTCTCCAGTTCTCACCAAGAAGCAACTCCAGAGCCCTAAGCAACTGCCAGTTCTACCCTGCACAAATGAGCCTTTCCCCACATATACCATCCTAGATTGCCAAGTTCACCACCCAAGGCAAAAAGGGCCAACACAAAGCTGCCTTTTCTGGAATTCCTACAGCCGTCACTGAGCTCTAGCCCTCTCCTTGTCTTTTCCCAAGTGCTCCTTCTGCACCCATGGCCACCACTAGATTTGCCCATGACAATGGCTTTTGTTTGATCCTTCCGCTATCTCAGCATTCCCCTCTGGCCTCCTGACAGTTAGCATGTGGCTCTATATTGCATATGACTGCTGGACTTCCTTCCCTAAGATAACCACAGGCCCAATGTCATATGGGAATGTTGTACTAAAATTCCAAGTTAGAACAACAAAAAAAGGGGTTGGAGAGCTGGCTCAGTGGTCAAGAGCCCACGTTGCTCCTCCAGGGGACCAGAGTTCAGTTCCTAGCACTCATGCCTGGCAGCTACAGCAGCCTGCAACTCCAGCACTGAACTCACATGCAAACTCCCACATGCATATACATGTATCATTTAAAAAGGCAAGAATTCAACAGGAAAATTCAGAGAGCTATATTCATGTAACTAAAAAGCAAACAAATGTATAGACCAGGAAAAACTAGAAGTATCATTTCATTCATTTTTTATTTTGAATAGCTTTAATCAAAAAAGATTTCCTAAGGTTATTTACAATGCTGAATGTACAATTATGAATGTATGCCTTTTGACAACAGGGTACCATTCTTGAGCAGCAATACAATTTAAAAAATATAAAGATGCAGTATCATTTCTGGTATAAAGTTACTTAAAAAATCCAAGGTCTTAGGGAATCCACAAATCATAACAGGAAGTTAACTTTTATTAATTTCATGTGCACATATTTACCAAATTTTAATACATCAAAAATATGTAAATGCCCACACTGTACAAAAATTAATACCCTATTTTGTTAAAAGTTCCCAACAACCTCCCACCATAAATATACAAAAACCTTTCCTTAGATATGTCAAAACTGCATGCATGAAATATTAGAATGTTTTCTAAAGCTTGAATCTTGTTCTTGTTCCTACTGGATATTATCTATCACTGTTTTTTAATAGACTACAAAAAATTTATTTACCATGCCTTTGAAACTGTGCAGCACTTTCATCAACATGGGAAACAAAAATAAATAAGAGTAAAAACTGTAACAGGCTTGCTTAAATGCAAGTGCAATTTGGAAAGCTTTCGAATTTCAGGATTATAAAACTATTATAAAAGTACTAATTTGCTGTGGGCTTGGCCACGCTCGTTCAAGCATTATTTGCAGCATTGCTTTACAGCAGCAGTTGGTGCTAGAAGATAGAAAACTTAGTTACCACTATTTATATTTGAGGGAGGAAAACAAACAACTTTAAACACCCTGAGGGAGACCCACATTAAAAATCTTGTTATTTATTTAAAAAGTTAAAAAGTTACATATCATTATTTAACAATTACTTTCACGGACATTTCTGTCCTTTATGTGCATAAATAAAATTTAAACCAGCAATATTATCAATCTTAATACATCAAAATAACATATGTACAGATTTTAAATTTTAGGTCTGTATACACCCAAATAATTTAATATAAAAGTCAGAACCAAAATTGCTATGTAATGGTGACCTACAGAAAAGACTCAGTCTACCTATGGCACGAAGTATGACTCACACTTAGATTCAGACATTCAAATAACATTCCATTCTCAACTGAATAACCCACCTCTTTCTGTGTTCAAATATAGCTTCCTACAAATGCTTTCCCACCTACATAAAGCCTTTTTCCTTTGAAAACAACATGGACAAATGAGATATAAACCTTATCAGCTCTAAATGTTAAAAGGGAATTTGCGTCAAAAATAGCTTTTGATGACCATGCTTTTAAAGATGTTCAATACAATCAATACTGGATTTTTAAGCTGTACTTAGCTATTACTCTTTATGTTTCAGTATTTAAACTAAAGGAAACTTACAATTCAGAAAAATCACTAAAGATACATAAGCATATTTGAAATGAATATGGAAATTATAAAACGAGAATAACTATAGAAAATAGTGCTAATTCACAGCTCCAGAGGTCTAAGATGCATAGCTTCAGAGAATCATTCATGAAACATTGTTCTTATCATCTAATGCATATTAATATCATACAGTTTGTTGGAAAACTTCGATTATGTATTTTGTAAGAATCACCAGTGGCAACAGCAGTAATAGTGATCCTGAGTGTAATTTACATTTTTCTACAATTATGAAACATCATCCAGCATTAAAAAAAAGAAAGAAAAAACATGGCTCTAAGAAAAAAATTCTGGGTAACAGCTGGTGAACAGCTAAGTATGTACTGGGAAAGTGATCATCAACTAGAAGTGGAAAGCACACGTGATTGGTTAATTAAGAACGCACAATAATGTCACGTGGTTGTCTGCTAAGTTAGAGTCCATTTTATAGCAACACCAGTTTCCCTGGTCTATCATAACTGTGGGTATTGCCAAATTGCTGGCTCCTACATCTGAAGGCATCATGAAAGTTTCTTTCAGTTCCTTGAGAATTTAAACATTAACCAGGTAAAACACATAAGTAAAAAATATTTCCTCCATTTCTTCTGGCTCAATGAATGTCTATTTTTTAATTTCCTCAATTTTTTTTTCCTCCTAGAACCTGCCACACCAAGTATGTTCATCTGTAACAAAACAGGTGAACAGTGGTTTCTGGCGCCACCTAATGGCATGCAACAAGCTCTCATCAAGTTCACATTGCTTAGAAAAGGCAGCCATTCAAATTCAGTATTCATTATTCTTTTAAGCCTCATTATCAATACAAGGGAGAGAGATACACCTAGCCTTAAAACAAACAGTATTACCGTGTATCTTTAGGTTAAAAAACAACAACAAAAAAAGGGGGGGAGAAAAGGAAAAGACATTTAAAATTATATAATTACTGACAGAAAAACAAAACAGGTGGATCTGCCAAAAGAAATCATCTCAATCTCTCCCACTCCGCGCGCGTGCGTGCGTGCGTGCGTGTGTGTCTGTGTTTCTGTTTGAAGGGTTTCACTATGCATTCCAGGCTGGCCTTGCACTTGCAACAATCCCAATCCCCCTGCAGTAATTTCTTGAGCAGGGATGCAGGGATACAGGTATCTATGATCACGCCTGGTTTAGAAATAATCTTTCCTCGTAAAAGGTTCCACAACATTTGGCTGATGCAAACTAAACTACTGACACAGCACAAGACCCACTGAAAAGCTATGAAGGATGTCTCAAGAAGGCCATGAAGCACCTTGCTGATTAGGAAGTAAAACCCAGGCAGTCTATACAGAGAATATAAGACCATAAATGGAAATTACCTGAGTTGTTCTATAAGCAATACCACACAGGATCACTCCTAACTCCGGGATATCAAAGGAAACTGGTGTATGTTTAACACAGCATTCTTTGGAAGAAACACTGGCATCAAATGAAAATAGGCTTTTAGCCTATTTTTACTGAAGGTTAATTATTTTTAACAGTCACAATTTTAGGGCCTGTTTATAAAAAGGAGCTTTCTAATAAAAGGGTTTGTGAAAATGAATTTCAAGAAGCAAACTAATGTCAAAAGCTAATATTCAAAAACCTACCAAACACCACTCTCTTATAACCAATATAAAGAATATCATTAGGGTAACAATGTAAATTCTGGAAATGTTTGTATCATATTTAGGTTACTGCATGAAGATATAGACAAGTTGACAGTTAATAACTGTGAGGCAAATGCCATTTTTCTGTGTGGTTTTTTTAACCAGCTACTGTATTATCAGAAAGGATATAAACTGTAATAGTGTATTCCGACACACAGAATCCAAAAACCCTAAAACCACATCCTCCTGGACAATGAGACTGAGTCTGCTATGCTATGGTGCTGATCTGACATGATCCCTTCTCCTTCACTGAAGCTTTAGCTTCTGTCGTTGTCTGAGGTTTGGGTGGCCATTCAGGGTCAACCAAGAGTTCCTGCGCCAGGTACATGTACTTTGCCTTTGGTGTTTTCTTCCTACAGCTCAAGGCCCAGGACAAGCAGCATTTCCCCCATCGATCCACTGACTCCTAAGAAAGGGAGGAAAAGAAATAACGCGATTAAGAGCTTGCTATTTTTAATAACGTGAAAGTATATATTAGCATAGGAAAAATGGGAGATGACTTCTGAATTCAACAAACAAATGGAAAAATCCATATAAAGAAGTCAGCTTTCAATTATTTAGGAACAAACTGTTTTTACAGAAGTTTTTGATTACCAATATAATTCATTGCAGTCTCTTTAGTTTTGTGTAACTACTATCCTCTTCTGTACTGATACAGTCTTCAAATGACTTGTAGATCAATCTGGATTCTCTAACAGAAAGTATCTAATATATTATGTGTAACTTTAAACTATTTATAAATATACATTTAATTTGAAAACCCTCAGATTCTACTCCCATTATCTTCTGACACTGCTGTCCTTAGACACCTAGCCACCTGGTCACTCTCAAAAGGCAGTGAGAAATATCATTGTGACTGCCCAAGTCTTAAAGCCCAAGACATGATATCAATGCTGTTGGGCCAAACTCAGGATTCAGATCATACTATCACACACTTAAAAACAAACAAAACAAAAAAAGTTACATCTTATAAAACCATATGGTGGTGGGGCATGGTGGTGCACACTGGCACACTGATAATCACAGCACTTGGGAGGCTGAGCAGGAGGATCATGAATTCAGTCAGCTTGGGCTACATAGTAAGACTCTGACTCAAACAGATAAATAAATAAATATTCTCATTTCATCTAATAAGCTTCTGTGCTCCTCCACAAGTAGAGATTCACAGAAAGAAGCAAGTACTAGTTCTTAGAATCGGTTCATTACAGAAAGCTCACATCATTATTGAAACCTTTGTGATCAATCCTGAAGCTACTGATAAATGTGACCTTAGATAATTAGTCTCAACTGAAGTTTGAAATAAGTAAATCTAAATAACTGTACTGAGACTGTAGTTACATTCACCTCTGACGAACAGTCCAGTCTTAATTTTGGCTGTTGTTTCTCTCAAGTAAAATTTAAATCCCAGTTAACATTTTTGCCACTCAGCATTGACCCAGCCTATACTAGGTCTAATCTTAACAGAAGCAATCCTACAAAACAGAAGCACAGTACAACAGACAATGTATTCTAATATGAATATTCAAAGTACCCACGGTCAAGAAAGGCAAATGTGCTATAATATGCATTTGAAACATGTTTCCAGATTGGCTAATGACAGCTGGACATGTGCTAACACCTATAATCCTAGTACTGGAGAGGTCCAGGCAGGTAACTGTTGAGTTCACCAGTAACCTGAGCTATATACAACTCTGTTATCATCATAACTAAGAAGAGTTATTAGCTGTGCATGGTGGCATACTCCTGGAATACCAGCACTCAGGAGGCAGGGACAGAAGGACCTCTATAAGTCTGAGGCTAGCCTGGTTTACATAGCAAGTTCAAGGCCAGCCAGTGCTATAAAATGAGAACCCGTCTCAAAAAAAAGCAAATTGAGGAAGGGAGGGAGACAGAGGAAAAGGGGGAGAGGAGGAGGAGAAAAACAAGGGGTTGGGGAGAGTGGTGTTATCATTCTCTTTAAAGAGAAATCCACAAGAAAATATTTTGCATTAGGGTACATGAGTCACCATGCACAGGATTTCACAGGTGATCCAAATAACAGCTAACAGTTCTTTCCAGTGTGGTTTCACCATGACTGTTAATCTGAGATGACAGTTCACCACTTGGGTTTTACTTTCCTAAGGTGTTTCAATTCCTCAATCCAATTATGGAAAAGATCATTGTTCCTAAATTAATATGAAAGCTGTCACTTTGTTTTAATTTATAGTAAGCACTATTAAAGTATCACAGAGAAAGACTAACATTAATTGCTCACTTAAAAGGGCGGGGGGCGGGCAAGGAACATTACATGCTTTGTCCAGATGAGTCTTCTGAGTGGAAAGGTAATGCATAACAGCAGGAAAGACAAATATGATCAAAGACACACACACACACACACCTCCCTATTGTTCTCTACCTGTGGAAACAATATAACTGAAGCTAACTGCAAACTGAATCACAACTGAATAGTATTTTTTATATTTGGGGGTGTATTTTTAAAAATCCCTCATCTCTCTAAAAAAGTGTATTTGTTGTGTACACCAAGTTATAAGGAATACCTAGGATTCCATTCCACCATAATTAGTTTGTTCCTGTATACTTATCTCCCTCGAATATCAGATACAAAAAGTTATTACACAGGTTTATGAGTCTTCACACAAATATACCACACACATCCTGAAACAACAGAATTCACTGAAACAGAAAATAAAAGGTACTATAACACTCCCGTCCTGCAGGCAGAGAAATTAAGGGGAAGATGTGCTGTAGCAAGAGGAGGCAGTCAACCTCCCTGTGTAACATGAAGGTCATGAAGCAGTCACAGGGGCTTAGAATGAGCTCTCAGGTATCCCCAAAACAGAGAGTTTAAGTCCTGAGGCAGGAGTACACAGCAGCTATTATTACTGGATCCCTGGAATCACTTTGTCTCAGGGATTACATAGATCAAAAGAGAAATAAAGAACACTCATAATGATCTATATCCATATTCTCTTCTCCACAGACCATTCCAAGCTAGCCAATGTAATGCCCAACTGTTTACTATTGGCAGTTTTTAAGGAGGTGTTTTCATGTGTAGTAACACCTGAATGAAAAAACGTTGTCACCAGTATTGGGGTTTTCATAAAAGCCTTCTTCCATACGAATCCTCAATATAAAACAAATATAATCCAAATTAGTATTCTATCTAAACATAGTATGTATTTTAAGTTGCATAATACCTACAGTTAACACACAATTTTTTACCAAAAAAGAAATACTAACTCAGGTACATAGCCTCAAGGGGATCAAACTGCTAGAGCATGAATCTAGTTTCCTGCCAGCTTCCCAATTCAACCACCTAAGCTTGGCGTGAAACCTGATTTGCAGCCTCTGGCTTTAACAGTTTCAACCAGTGTTCCCTATGTATATGGTTTAGGAAGAAAAAGAAGAAATGGGGCTTTCCTTCCCAATATTTAGATAAGACTGGGAGTTTCAGTTTGAGAAGACCTCACAAGCTTCTTCCTAAAAGTGAACACAGATTAGGCAGTGCAGAGTGAGGACTAGGGCAGAATCAAAGCAGCGCACAAGTCCTACAGGAAACCCAAATACTACCAGGTATCTTTCCTTTTCACCTTAGGGCACAGGCCTTCTGCTTCAGTACCACTGACGTCTTGGGCTAGCCAATTATTTGTTGAGAAGGGGGAGTCCTAGGCGCCACAGGACATTTATTTAGCACCATCCCTGGCCTCTACTTCTGTATGTCAATAACAACTTCTCTCCCTTAATTCTGAAAAACAAAACTGTCTCCAGGCACCACCAAATATTCCTTGGGGGAGAGGGCAGGCAATGATCAATAAAGGAGAATTACATTATTACATACAGAAGTGTGAAGATGAGAAAGATTTCATTTTGTGTTAAAGACTGTTTTTTCTAAATATAAAGCTTTAGAAAGTGCTTTCTTACTCATGTCCACAGAGGCCAAAATTCATGTCTACCCAATGATTCTCAAATGGGTCAATACACAGGACATGCTGGGTCCCATACCTTCATTCTCTCTCATCAACATTGAGATTGAACTTCATATGACATAAAACTTTTAAAAATATGAACTGATACAATTTTTTTTAAAAAAGTAAAAAATATAATTTTTGCCATTTCATTCTGGTTGAAAAACTTTGGATTTCCAATTCAAATATTTTAAAGGACCTTACACATGTTTGACTAAATAAGCATATAAAGACTCGTTAGAATATGCACTTCCTGGGGCTGAAGAGATGGCTCAGCAGTTAAAAACACTGGTTGTTCTTGCAGAAGACCTGGGTTCGAATCCCAGCACCCACATGGCAGGTAACAACTGTCAGTAACCCCAGTTCCAAGGGATCCGACGGCCTCGTCTGTCCTCTGTGGGCATTGCATGACATGGGTGCACTTACCTACATGCAGGCAACACACTCACACACATAAAATAAAAATAAAATATTTTTAGAATATGCATCTCCTGTTTAAACAAAGGTTAGAGACCTCTCTGGGGAAGCCAAACACTCAAGATGTTTTCTCCAGGCTAGTACCTTTCCAATATAAATATTTCATGAGGAATGGTGATCTGAGTTAGTTTAACCTTCTGAGATTATGTAGTGAGGTTACCAAAAGAAAATATAGCTAGCTTTATTTGTTCTCCAAGAAGGAGAAAGAGCCAAAGGATTTGAGCCCCACAGTTCTGGTTCTGCCCACTACAAGGGACAAGTACGTATTACATTTTGAGAAAAAGAAACTGGAGCTGGTTTCAGACTCATCATCAACTCACCAGACTGGCCTTGAACTCACAATGATTTGCCTGCCTCTGTCTCCTAAGTGCTGGGATGAAAGGCATGGCCACCACGCCCAGCCCATCACTTTATGCCATTGTTATTCAGCCAAAATGGCATTCTACAGGACCCCTCTGATAGCAATCCTAGTATTAAATCTGGACATCAGGCCTGCTGAATTACCAAGAGAAAGTTGAGGAAGTTGTCATGTAGGTAAAAGATGATGAAAATGAGCTCGTGATCTAACTCGGAAATGCCAGGCAATCCTCTGAACTCTGCATGTGGCTTATTATTGTAAAGCACATCATCCTCTTACAAAGAGCAATGAGCATGGTACGTTCTGTTTTGAGACGGAGTCTCATGTATGTAGTACAGGCTAGACTTGAACTCTTGGTATAAACTTGAATTCCTGATCCTCCTACCTCCACCTCTCATGTGCCAGGATTACAGAAGTGTGCCGCAACGCCTAGCAAAGAGGTGAGATTTTAAATGTTAAAAAGTTTTCAGAGCTTTGGTTCAATGATAGCAGTTTACAAAATTAAGCCTAATCTGTATGTTCTATTAAGAGCTCTAACTTTAATATCCTGACACTAGGAAATGGGTTTATTCATTTGTTTTCTTCTTTTCCCAAGGAGCTTGTGACACCTGATAAATAGGCTATGCCTTCCAAAAGCCCTCTCCACTGCTTGCATAAAAATGAGCAAATAATTGTCTGAACTATCAGAAATGTAGGTTGAGGAAAACAAAAGTCTACCCTAAATAACTAACAACAACCAAAAAAGTCAGAAATAATTCCTCAAAATTGTATTTTTTGATTCTGATTCAAGAAGAAACAAATTTGGTTCAAAACTGTGTTTACATGAATCTCATTTAACTTCTAAAGGGACGAATGAGAATCAAAAGCAAAAATATAAAGCAGGCAGAAATGAAAGAATTAACTCTCACCTGTGAGGATAAGACCTTCACACACACACACACAGAGGATTAGGATTGGAATGGAAAAGACATGAAATTTCCGAAGTCCTGAAAAGCCTTTAACAAATGCTTGCCATGAGTTTTCTAGGACTCCTTATATAAAATGAAATGCCAGGCACAAGAAAAAGGCTGAAGCTGTACACACAGAAAACCAAGAGAACACAGTACACACTGGAAAAGCCAAGCTGTACGTGAAGAATTGACAGTAACTGCTGGTTTCCAACCTGTGGTGGCTGTGTGGTGGTGAAACGACACTCTCCTTGTTTGTCTCGATTGAACACAACTTTCCAAAGGACCGTGTCAAGGAAGAAGCTCTGAGAGATATTCCAGTTAAGAATTAAAAATGCCAAATCATTCCTTTTAACATGCACATTTAATAACATTCACACAAGATCGCATCATTAGTAAATAACATGATTTCCTTTTCATATAGTGAGCCTCAGTGAATACTACAAAAGGATAAAAAAGTACAAATCACAAAATTCTTGATAAAATGGGACTTCTAAATGCTCCACAAATATGGCTCTGATTCACTCAATTAACACTTTTGTTTAATTTACTGCCTTTTTCTTAGTTATTTCCACTGAATAACAATATATTTATGTCTATCTATACATATGTATTTCATCAGCATCCCACACAAATAATTCGGGTAAGAATAAAAGTAACACCCGAGAAGATGGACTAACACTGTAGGAAAATGAATGCTTTTAAGATACATTGTCTGAAACGTGCTTTCTAGGACTCTTAAAATAGAAAACTACATTTCATGGGGCAACTTAAAATGGTCGACCATCAATTACCCATACTGGTGATCATAGCTCAAATATCTGCTTTCTGCTTCTTTCACTGCTATGAGAGCAGACCAACATGTATAATAAGCAGCAAATGAGAACTTACTATCTCCTTTTAGAGAAGCTGATCATAAGTCAATCTTATTGGGAAATACAGAATACACAATGAGTACTTAAGCCTTCTGAAGTTACTCAATGTAAATACCAAGAAAGAGGTTCTAGTAATGAATGCTGAAATTAGGCCGAGTCCAAAATGGTAATTAGTTATGCTTTCAATAGACTCTCATTACATTTTCTGAAGTCCCCCCATTCGTCCTTAAATGGGGCATTCTACTTTCTATCAGGGAACACAGATGGTATATACCCACTCTGATCTCATGGGCACTGGGTAGGTCATGGGCTGCCTGGATACCAAACTTCTCTTTCACTTATTACTCATTTTTGCTACCTCACTGTTTACTGTTTCAGTCTGCTTAGTTTCTCTTATCTGCATAAATACAACTCTATCATGATATAACTTCAGAAAAGGTCAGATGGGACCCCACCACCACCACCACCACCACCACCACCATTAAATCACCCCAGAATCCCAAAGCTGAAGTGCTCACCTCCACCATGATAGACACAAAGGCATTGGTAAGAACAATGATGAGCAGATGCAGGCGCCACTGGTATGGCACACACACAATCTAGAAGGCAAAAATTTAGTTACAGTTAAAGCTGCTGCCTTAATTGAAGCTATATCATAATTTCTAAAGCCAGGCATGCTAGCACATTCTATAATTCCAGCACTTGGGAGGTGGAAGCAGGATGATCAAGAGTTCAAGGCAATCTTCAGCTACCCAGTATCTAGTGAGTTCAAGACTAACCTGGGCTACCTGGGACCAACTCCAAAAAAAAAAAAAGCCAAGCTTGTATTATTATATAACAAATATTTTTACTTAAAAAATGTGTATAAGTGTTTTACCTGCATGTATGTAAGTGTATCACATGTGTGCAATGCCCTCAGAGGGCAGAAAAGGGCACTGGATCCCCTGAACTGAAGTTACAGATGGTTGTTAGCTGCCATGTGGTTGCTGGAAACTAAACATGGGTCTTCTGTAGGAACAATCAGTGGTCTTAACTATGGTGCTATCTCTCTCCAGCACCCAAATACTGTAACTTTAACAGTGTCATAAAAGCATGCATCTTTTCAAATGATAAAACTCATAGTTTTAAAAAAGTGACTGAACTCAAAACTAAATCCTACTCAGGACTCTAGAGCCCATGCCCTCCTCTACAGCATTACAAATGTTTAACAACTTACTTTTTTGTTGTTTTGTTTTTGGAGTCAGGGTCTCATCATGTAGGCCCAGCAGAGTTTCCCTAGTCCTGGGACTAAAGGCATGTTTAAAGGCATGTGCCACCATGTCCAGCAAGTTCTTACTTTTTAAACAAAAAATTTCTTTCAAACATGAGGTAGAAGGTCTAGAAAGGGCTCAGCAGTTAATAGCACATACTACTTTTGCAGAGTACCCAAATTTGGTTACCAGCATACATATCAAGCAGTTAACAACTGTCTGTAACTCCAGCTCCAAGAAGCCCAATACACTCTCTTCTGGCCTCCACAGGCACCTAACTCATGTGCATACACTCCTGCACAGACATATAATCAAAAATAAACCTTTAAAACAATAAATAAGTCAGACACTAGTCTAAGACTGGTCAACTCTCAATTGATTTCCCCCTATTTAAGCCCCCCAAATACCTAGGAATACAGATACACACTACCACATCCAACTAAAATCTGCCATCTATGACCTAAAAATTCCTAGTGCTGCATTCAACCTTTTAGTTAGTACCTAAGATACTATGTAAGAAGCCAAGGAGTACCATGATCTAATATACTTGAGAAAGCACATTATTATTCAGGTAAGTTTGAGATGAGGAGACTACAAGATAAAACAAGGCCAAACGAGACTGGGCCAATGGACCTGGATCTTCAGAATAAGGCAACTTAAAAAAATTAGCAACTGACTGGGCATGAAAAAAGGGAGAAAGGCAAGTCCAGAATAAAAAATCAGGTTATTTTAAACCAGAAGGGCTTGAAAGGTGTATTTCAAGTTCTGAAAGAAAACAGCTGCCAACCCAGAATACTATATCCAGCAAAACTATGTCACAAATAAAGGAAAAATAAAAACTTTCCATGACAAAAATACACTAAAGGAATTTATGACCACTAAGCCAGCTCTACAGAGGATACCTGAAGGAATCCTTTGGCATGAAGAAAAAAACAAATCCATCCATGAAGCCATGAGAAAAAAATAAACCACACTAGAATAGTACTTAAGCAAGAAGAAGAAAAAAGACTGCCGTCAAAAAAATGACAGAAATCAATATACAATGTTTAATAACTGAACATTTCCCCAATCAAACAACACAGACTAGGAGATTGGATTAAAAGGAGAAACCAACAGTAGGGTGTGATGGTACATGCCTTAAATCCTAGCACTCAGAAGGCAGAGGCAGGCAGATCTCTGTGAATTCCAGGCCAGCTGGGCTACAGGGAGACCCTGTCTTAAACACACACACACACACACACACACACACACACACACACACACACAGAATCATCTATTTCTTGCCTCTAAGATATGTATCTCACCACAAAAAATAGATACTACCTTAGGATGAAAGGATGGAAAAAGGTATTTTAAGCAAAGGGACCTAGGAAACAAGCAAGTCTAAGTATCTGATAAAGTAAGACTTCACACCAAAACTAGGGGGAAAAAAATTAAAGATCACTTCATACCGATTAAGGGAATAATCCATCAAAGAGATACAGTTCTCAACATATAAACCCCAAACATAGGTACACTCAATTTCAGATAAAAAATACTATTAGATGTAAAGTCAAAAATTAACTGTAGCACAATACCCCACCATCACTGATTGATAAAAAATAAAAAGAAATATGAGAATTACATGACATTATAGATAAATGGACTACACAGATATCTATAGAACATTTCATTCAAACACTGCAGAACTCTTTTCATTCAAACACTGCATATTCTTTTCAGCAGTCAATGGATATTTGGAGAGATAGCTCAGCAGTTAAGAGAACTTGCTGCTCTTGCAGAAGACCTGGGTTCAATTCCAACACCCACATGGAGGCTAACAACCATCTGTAACTCCAGTTCCAGAATGACTCTCTTCTGACCTTTGTGGGCATTGCACGACATGGGTGCACTTATATACGTGCAAGCAATACACTCATACCGATAAAAATAAAATGTTAAAAAAACAAACTCCTCATGACCAAAGCAATCCTGAGCAAAAAGAATATTGCTGGAGGTGTCATCATACCTAACTTCAAGTTATGTGAAGCCACAGCTTCTATATAACTATAGCCACAGCTACTAGCACGAAAACAGGTGAACAGACTATTAGGCCCAGGCGCAAGTCCATGTTACTACTTGATTTTGGAAAAAGATGCCCAAAGTACATAATAGTGAAAGGACAGTATTTCCAACAAAGTGTGATTGGCAAATTGGATATCAACATGTAGAAGAATGAATAGTTTCTCTTTCACCCTGCACAAAAATCAGCTCCAAATAGGTCAAAGATCTTAATGTAAGACCTGAAACAGTGAGACTGCTAGAAAAAGAGTAGAGAATGCACTTCAAGATATAAATGTAGGTAAGGACCTTTTGAATAAGACTCCAGTTGCTCAGGAAATAGCAAACACCACAAATGGGAGCTCATGAAATGAAAAGCTTCTGTACGGCAAAACAAACTGTCAACCGAGTGAAGAGGCAAGATAGAGAATGCCAGTTGTGCATACAAGAGGATTAGTACCTAAAATAAATAAAGAACTCAAGAAACTAAACATCAATATAAATGGCTAGTAAACATTTAAAGTATTCAACATCATTAACCATCAGGGAGATGCAAAGTGAAAATACTTTGAGATTCTATTTCACCCCGTCAGAATTACTATAATCAAGAAACAAATGACAACAAATGCTGGTGAGGCTGTTGGGATAGTTTAATTTTTGAAAAAAAAATTTTTTTGGTCTTTTTGAGACAGGGTCTCCCTGTAGCTTCAGCTGTCCTGGAACTCACTATGTAGACCACGCTGGCCTTGAACTCACAGAGATCCGCCTGCCTCTGCCTCCAAGGCATGAGCCACCATGCCCAGCTGAAAATTTTTTATTTATTATTTTTATGTGTATGAGTGCATTGCCTGCATGTATATAAGTGCACCCATGTCATGCAATGTCCATGGAGGTCAGAAGAGGGTGTCAGATCCCCCAGAACTGGAGTTATAGATAGGTGTTAGCCACCATGTGTGTGCTGTGAAATCAACTCCAGGTCCTCTCTTAACTGCTAAGCCATCTCTCTAGCCCTGGGAAAGGAGAATTCTTAATCCACTGTTTAGGTATTGCCAATAAAAATCTGCTGTTCTAATTATGCCTCTTTGTTGTACAGTATCTTTAGGTTACTATAACTACATCTTAGACAAAGGGGAAGAAGCAATACTAGGAAAAATAAACGGAAGCAGATTAATTTTTTCTTCAATAACTAGAAACAAAGGAGAAAACACATCATAAGCCCCTATACCAAACATCCAAAGTGTCATTTAGCTATTCAAATTCCATTTAACACTAAAATGTCACTTTCCATTACTGTCTTACTACTGTCACCCCAGTTCCTATCAATCATGAGACAAGTGATAGATGACATCCTTAAACCTTACCTCAAGAACCTGTTGGACAGAGGCAACTGGATGCAACATGATGAATAATATGAAAACATACAAAATAATCACAGATATAACAAAAAAGTCTGGAAGAGAAAGTAAACAGTAAAATTAGGAGTTTTCTTTAAATTAAAAGCTACCCAACAATAAGAATCATACATACTGCTACTCTTAAATTTAGTTTGAATACCTATACTTAAGTTGATGAAATATACAAAGCATAAGCTGGGTGTGGTACAGCAGATCTTTAATCCCAGTACTCAGGAGACAGGCAGATCTCTGAGATCAAAGCTAGCACGCTCCAGCCAGCTGGGACTACAGGGAGACCCTGTCTTATAAAAACCAAAAAAAGAAAGAAAGAAAAATATATAGAGAACATTATTTCCTACAGACATTCTGCCTCCCCAAAGATTCATGTATATAATGGAATATTATAGATATTTAAAGTCCATTAACGTTAATCTTAATATTCAGATAATATTCAGCACTTTAAAAACTAAATTCAAGCTGGGAATGATGGAGTGCCTCTATAATTCCAGCACTGAGGAGGCAGAGGCAGGGAGATCTGGAGTTTTAAGGGCAGCCTTGCTGTAGAGTTCCAGGCCAACTTGAGCTATACAGGAGATCCTGTCTCAAGTGCTCCCTTAACCCACACCAAAGTCTACAAACTTGCAAATAGAAATTTTTGTTACCCAAGTACAACAACTAAAGTATTAGTTATTTCAAGGTTAATATGTGCTGGTTGGAATTACACAAATGAAAATAGGTAAAGTGGGGTGGGGAGACTAAAAAAAATAGTTACAGCCAGGCATGAGGGCACAAATCTGAAATTCCAACATCTGGAAGCAGAGGCATAAGATTTTGAATTTCAATTTGGCCTGGACTACATAGCAAGACCTATCTAGGGCGGGGGAGGGGGAAGAATTAATGAACTTTCAATTCAACGAAGAGATAACCCATATTACATATTTCTCAAATCCCATTTTGACAACTTGATTAATAACTTGGTGCCTAATACGTGTTATCAAAAAAAAATATTTACCAGTATTTTTCAAATGTTCCTGAGACATCCCTAGCTCTGAGTTGTAAAAAATCTTTCAAGATTTCCATGGAAGGAAAAAAATAAAAGAAACTTATTTTTCTTTAGCGTGGAGATAAAAAGAAGCACTACTACCATGGACTGGAGAGATGGCTCAGAAGTTAAGAGTGTCTGCTGCTCTTCTGGAGGACCTGGGTTCTGTTCCCAGCACTCAGGCTCCAGATGATCCAATGCCTTCTTCTGGCTTCTACAAGCACTGCATACACCTGTTGCCACCTTTCCCCATACACATACATACAAATAAATCGGTTTTTTTGTTTGTTTTGCTTTTTGGCTGAACTGGAACTCTCTATGTAGACCAGGCTGGCGTCAAACACAGAGAGATCCACCAGCCTCTGCCTCCAAAGTGATGAGATTAAAGGTGTGTGTCACCACACTTGATCAAATAAAAATAAGCCTTAAGGGGCTGGAGAGATGGCTCAGCAGTTAAGAGCACTGACTGCTCTTGCAGAGGACCTGGGTTCGATTCCCAGCACCCACGAACTGTCCTTAACTCCAGTTCCAGGGGAATCTGAAACCCTCTTCTGACCTCTGACCTCCATGGCCTTGCACGAAATGGGTACAGGCAATACACTCATACACATAAAATAAAGATAATTAAAAAAATAAAAAAAAATTTAAAACAAAACACTACTCAGCTGGTCCTGGTGTTGCAGGCCTTTAGCTCCATGCTTACCCATTTTTCATATTCCATAATTATTAAGAACCACTTAAAGCAGTCTTGAGCCTGGTCTAAAAGTTGGTTAGATCTTTGTTTCTAAAACAAGATAAACTGACTTCAATTGGCATAGAAATCCCCAAACCTCAGAGTGGCATACACCTTTAATCCCAGCATTCAGGAGGCAGAAACAGGCAGATCTCTGTGAGTGTGAGGCTAGCCTGGTCTACATAGCAAGTTCCAGGCTAGCTGGGGCTACAGGGAGACCCTATCTCAAAAAGACCCCCCCAAGAAACAAACAACGAAACAAAACACCACTCAAAAAAGAAGTGCATTTGGAATATATATAACCTCATGAGATTTTCTTTTAATTGGATTGGAGAATGGAAAACCACCAAATAAATACTCAGGTGAGAGAGGTAGGAACATAGTAGATTGCTTTGGTTCTGGGGTCCTCTTGGTTTGGAGCTGAGTGATCTCTTAGCAATCCTGTTAAAAATACTCTTCATTAGACACAAGTATCAAAATCTGCTAGTGACTGCAGGTCAGGGAAAAGTGGCCCTGAAGTTCAAGATTTTGAATGATGAGACTATTTTACCTACAAAATGAAGCTATAAAGGCATAGAAAAAAGTAGAAATTTTTAAGTACTTAAAAATGTAAAAAAGATTCCATGGTGGCACATGCCTCTAATTCCAGTACAGTGAAGGTAGGGGGACCAGAATCTGGTCAAGGCCATCCTTGAATTTCTACACAGTGAATTCAGGATAGCCTGAGCTACATGAGACCCTGTTTAAAACAAGCAAGTAAACATATAAACGAAATACAAGATAAGCTGATATAGTGGCACATATCTGTAATCCCAGGGCTTGGGAGACTGAGGCAGGAACATCATCAATTCATAGTCATTTAGTCTGATATCAGCCTGGATTAGATGGCAAGACCCTGTTTCAATGTAAAATATGTAAATTCAAGCTAGTAAATATATCCAAACTTACTATAATGTAGATTTGCTTAAGATACGGATTTTTTTTAATAGAAAATGGCATGAAAATAAGGCACATAAAGGATTTCCTGTCTATTCCTGTTAGAGCCTCAGAAACAAGGCAATCTTATTTTGTAGGGCCCATCAACTAAAGTATGACAATGAACAAAACCCTGGACAGGACATGCCACCAGTTCAGTAATAACAGCTCTACAGACAGAAAGGGGTTGCATTTTTCAAACAAAACACCGAGAGGATCAAGCAAGAGCTATAGTAAAAACTGAAATTGTCAGGCATGTGGCTAACACCTGTAATCCCAGAACCTGGAAGGTGGGGGATCAGGAGTTCAAAGGTCCCCTTTAGCAACATGAGACCTTGCCTCAAACAAAGAAGCTAAATCTAGTTAAATGACAGCAATAATTAAGTACGTATCACCATAGTCCTTGAAATGAAAGCAAATACAAATAGAAAATACAAACTTTACTAAGCTAAAGTTGGAAATGGGCAACTACAGACTGAAACTAGGCTTTATTTTAAAATAAAAATAATTTAGAAAGCAGGGAACACCAGTCTGGAAGAGAATGCCTTCAACATCTAAGACTGGCATTAATAATAAATAAATATTCAAATAAATCTAATACATTACACTGATTAGACTTCGAGAACTGGCAAAGAATTATTCCAATGAACTACAATGGCAGCAACACATTCCACTGACAGAAGAACAAAAGGTGAAAATTGGCAAAAATGTGTGGCCAGCTATATTGTTTTTTTACATACTGTCAGAAGTGCACAAGCTGCCTGTAGGAAACAAAATGGATGTATGATATTTCTACTGAAATACCAATTTTAGTATACTTTTTAAAAAAAGTGTTCAGTTATCAACAATAACATGGTTATAATTTATTTAAATCAATTACAAACTAAGTGAGAACATGAATTTGTGGTTTTCTAAATCATATATATGTGATGTATTTTGAAAACAGGTGACTTAAGACACAGTGATAAAAATTAGGAATTCCAGAGGCAAATACTGGCCACAACAAATGTGCAATAAGAAAAGGGCAGCAGGTGCTGCATAGATCACCCAGAAGAAAAGTACATCCATTGTCTCCCTTGAGGAGTCTCTACTGGTTCTTGCTTTGAATTCTCTGTAATGGCTCCCAGAAATAAAAAGAGCCCCAAGAAATAGGATATGAAAATCATGAGTGGTTTAACAGTGGTGGCTTTAATTTTTAAATTTAGGGCGAGAATTCTCATGAAAGAAAAACAAGACAGAAAACATTTAAATCACTAGGTCCTATCTATGTGTGAAGCATTTACCTTGGGAGGCCAGTTAAAATATTCCCCATTTATTTATTCTACTTACTTTTTAAATTTTTTAGTTTCTGAGACAGGGTCTGGCTATGTACTTAAGTCTCCCGAGCACTAGGACAACTGGCATGTGCCACCAAGCCTAGCTTGCTTTCTTCTCCATTATCTTTTAAGGAAGGAGTAAAGTGGGAATCAGGATGTCAAACTTACAATTCTTGTAGCAAGGTTGCCTGAAGGGCTTTCCTTTTGAAAAAGCAATTGCCACAATGAGGTACTGAAAACTGGAGATAAAAAACACTGTGGTATTTTCATAATTTTGTATTTTACACTTCTCGAGTTCGGTTTCATTGTATAAGTGTGATGAGTTCCAACATAGGCTTCTTGTTGTATTACAAGCACTAGAACACAAAAAAACTTTTCATTAGAAATGTGATATCAATCTCCCAAAAGAAATCAATTTTCCCTTAGATTATCATTATCATAATACAAAGAAATAAGATGCTTGCTGTTCATCACTAAAGGATCAACAACAGCAACATAAAATAGGGTTTTTGCAAGACATTCCAACTAGTTAAAATTAGAATCAAGTGAGGTTTCTTTCTTTTAAATTTTGGAAGTAATTTTAGCACAGTGAACATAAACAAACCATGGGTTTTATCTTTAACACCATTTTTTAATGGTAACTGGATGTAATAACTAATGATAACCAGACATCCTATTCAATCTATTTGATCCTATTTCTTCACCTGTAGATTCATACCTCTTCATCCGATTTACTGTGAAAACTGAGTAAGAATATACGTGTAAATGCTGAGCCAAGCACTGGTACTGAGAGAGCCCTCAATATTTTCTAATTACTCCTGCATTCCTTTCTATTTCTGAGTACCACTACTGGGCATACACAGTAACGGTACTACAATATTAACTACAATGAATATGGCTAAATGGTAACAAAATGTTAATCCTCTGTAAACTCTGAAAAGACTCAAGACAATTTCACCAATTTCATTTCATAGGCAATGTCTGTATATACACAAGAAAACAATAATGCTTCTTTTTAAAAGTAAATTTAAGAAAAGGTTTAATGTAATCTCAAGCAAATTAAAAATATTTACAACTGAAGATTTAATAATAAAATTATTCACATTTGATTAAAAGAGGTGTGAACAGCAGAACACATCACAAATAATGTAAACACATATATTCTTTTCAGAAAGTTTTGAAAGGGCCATTTCAAAATAAATAAATAAACAAAATATTTCCTAAACTTGGTATAGAAAGTCAGAAATATAATGCTAAGGGTTTAAAAGAGCCTAAAGAGGCTGATTCTAATTTTCCAGAAATCCAAGTCTCAAAAGCAAATTGAGCAAGAGATCTAGGGTGCCATCTTGATAGTGACTGGCACTTTGCCTACACACTTTCTGCTATGGTCTCAAAATAAGTTTTCCCCTCTTAGGCTCATGCTGAAATGTAATCCCCACTGAGACACTAAAAGAAATGCAAGGTGAGACCCTCAAGAGGCAATTAAGGCACTGCCACTCTTGAATGGATTGATTCATTCAGGTAATTAATGAATTAATGGGGCATCCCAGAGTAGGTGTTTCAAAAGAAACAAAGCAGTTTGACTTAGGTCTCTCATCGTGTGATGTCCCAGTACTGCCTAGATACCACCCACAGATGAAACCCCTTGACCAGGAGACAAGATTTTTCCTAGATATATTGCTCTGTGGTATTGTTTATTAACAGAAAATTATTACATCACCTTCCCCTAAAGACAGAAGCTACCACAGCAAAAAGGCAAACACATACAAAATTATTTAGATGTTTAAAGCAACCTGCATGCAAGTTTTATACACATTTCAAGGTTCATTTTTAATATCTATCCTACACAAATTTTTACATACTCACTCTGAATATGGATCCCACCACACTTTATACTGCTTGACCCAAAAAAACCCCAGAGACTGAAATCCAATGCAGATGATGATCTGAGACAAAACGGAGAAGAGTAGAGCCCCAGATATAAGACCTGAAGGTGGTCTTTGGGCCACGAGATCTTTCCAGGCAGGATTTAAACTCACTATATCAGAAAGAAAAAGATAAAAAGTTTGTATCCAGACTATTCACATAATGAAATTCACTTAAAGCTTCCAAAATTCTGGTTTTCTGTCACATATTTAAATAGTGGAAACACTAGTACAAATAAAAAATATAGTAATTCTAAACCAAGGTGTAATCATGTATGCATACAATGCCAGCACTGGGAAGCTAAGAGAGGAGGATCACAAGCTCTCAAGGCCATACCATATATAAGACCATGCCATAACATAACATAAAAATGGAAATCTAATTAAAATAGTGTTTCCCCTCTAAAGAATTTACTACTAATGGTTTGAGGCAATACAAAGGAAAGTTCTAGTCTGTTTTTCCTTTGATAATTAATAACTTAAGAAAAGTTACACTCAGCCTGTCAAAATTCTGCTTTCATTCATTGGTTCTATCACCTACAAAGGATTTTCTAACTCAGCAATTCTCAAGCAGATGATTTTGCATACCCACGGCACTTTTGGCAAGGTCTATAGTTACTTTTAGTTGTTAGAAGGCCATCTGTATATCAAAGCATGAAGGTCAATGTAGAAAAAAGCTCTCCATAAAGAATTAATCTGACTAAAACATAATTAAGGCCAGGCTCTCTGCTTGGTAAATCTAACAATCCTTATATCAGCAATTTTCCTTAAATAAGAGCTTTTACTTATTTCCCAAGTATGTATTTATTTCTGATATGGACAGATTTGCGAATTTCTATTTATTTCAATAGTCCACACACCATTACCAGCTGCTTATCTTGTTAGAATGACCAATACTGGCATAAACTAAGATCTTGGGCCTCCACTTATATGATACATACAGGGAAACATCATATGATAGATCAGCCCTGTGAAATTCCTTCTAAAAATTATGTTCTTTAGCCCAAGTCTCTATCATCAATATCAAGTCATGTTGTCTCCACAAGACTGAAGGACTATCTTGAACTTAAACTGACCAGATTATGTGGCAGTGACTGTGCTTTATCAGGTTATTCTTACTGATGCTACTCAAACTGATTTTTCAGATGATGGCTGAGAAGCTTTAAAAAAATAAGTGACAGGTACAACAACAGAAAAAAACCAAAGCAGAAAACACTAAAGAGGCAAGAAAACGGAATAAAACTTATGAGTTGATTATATCCAACTTCCAATGTAGGGAGTAAATGAGGACTAATATTTCAGAAATGTCAGCAAACAAATGGGGCAAAATCTAAACAGTAAAAAGAAGAACATTCACAGGAAAACTGAAGTATAAGCTACTTACAATGGCTGATGCAAAGTTGCCAGATTTTAATAAATCATCAGAATTCCATATTTTGAAATTTAAAAAAAAAAAAAAAAAAAAAAAAAGGAAAATACTCACTTGTAAATACCACTACCAAAATGATTGCCAGATCAATGAAGAGAAACTGAAAATCTCCCAGGTTACTTAAGATCTACAAAAGTAATTTTAAACAGTGTTTAGAAACTATTTTTATACCACTGCTTCAGTTTATAGTTTTGTTTTTCCCAATAATGACAACTTCAAAATGATACTTGAACCTGCTTAAAAACTAAAATATGTTTGCCTCTGAAATCAATCGATAATTAACATATTTACAAACATTTGACCTAATGTTAGTATAAAAGGCATGTCTTTAAAATATATCCAGCAAATAATTTTGGCAAAAAGAAGATACAAATGTAAAAAAAATTTTATGAATATATGAGCAACAGTACTCTTAAAACACTAAGATATCTCATCTCCCCAGCCCCCAAAAGGAAAAACTACTCAAAATAGGCAACATTTTACTTAGACACACACACACACACACACGCACACTTCTCTCTCTCTCTGTGGTTGTGTGTGTGTGTATAAAATCAATACTCTCAAATGTCAATATCTTGAAGCTTTAAACAATCCCAGCACTGGAGCTGGAGAGATGGCTCACTGGTTAAGAACACTAAGTTCTTACAGAAGACCTGGGTTCAAATCCTAGCACCCACATGGCAGCTAACAAATATCCATAACTCCAGTTCCAGGGGATCCAACAGCCTCTTCTGTCCTCCGTGGGCATTGTACGACACGGGTACACTTACCTACATGCAGGCAATACACACATACACATAAAATAAATATTAAAAAAAAATCCTAGCACTAGGGAGGTGAAGGTAAGATCAGGATTTGAAGGTCCTCCTCAACTACATTATGAATTTGAAGCCAGCCTGGAAAACACGTGATCCTGTCTCAAAAGAAACAGAGCCAATCTACAGTATAAAGTAAAAAGAAGACAACTTTCTTCAGAAAGCTTTAGCCATGTTGTTGGCGTTAATAAACATGCTTTCCAAATTAATGACACTTTCAATCTGCTATTGAAACGTCGATATCTCAAGATAAATTTACAAATACTATATAAATTTCATCATTAATGGATGTATTCAAAAACCAAAGATACATGCTCAACATCTTTGGTGCCTTAACATTTTTAAGAACATATCTGTGCAAAATGCTAATACAAACATATCTGTGCACAGTGCTAATACTCACAGAATACAGGAGAGTAACACTGAAGTACTGTATGATGCTGTACAGTGCCATAAATTTAAACACACAGAAGGATGTCATTAAAGCAGCACGGCCTTCCCTGGAAAGAGAAATTTAGCATGTAAATAACAGTACCTTCATTCATAACAGTACCTAACATTCAACAGTTAAAGCAAAGTGCTCTGCCAAAGCAGAGCTGAAAGAGCATCAATCTGCTAATAAGTTACAGTTCAAATGCACTTCCAAACATTAAAACAACTTCATATTGTTCTTTACAACAATTTACCCAATTATATTATAAGTGCAAGATATAAAGAAATTATAAGAAAAATTCCAATTTCCATTACCTGATAAGGTTTGGCACACAGGAAATACTGGGAGTTTTAGAGGTAAAAGGAGATGCCACTGAAGCTTCAAGCTCAGATAAGGAAATGCCACCATGTGCCCTCTTCAAAGCCTAAATCATTTCAAGAGACTGATTAAGTTTTGCGACTGTGGCTTAGGATAAAGAAATAAAAAAATAAATGACAGAAACTGTACTTACACCACAATCATTTGCACCATCACCGCACATCCCAACAAAGTAACTAAAAACAAAGAGATTTTAATTTCTTACGTTAACACAACGAAAAGATTCTCCAACATATTACGGAAAGCTAACAGACTCCTGAATGAAACAAATAAATCTTTCCATTATTATAACGATCACAGGCATGATGTTCTGCTGCCAGCACTGGCCTGAAACTGGAATGACCCAGTTGCTTGTTTCTGTCAGTATATGGACAAATCATTTTAGTGTCAATTTCCTCATCTTCAGAGCAAAGGGCTTGAGCCTGTGTATTTTTCTAGCACACTTTTTGGGTTCAGTGTAGATCTGCCTCTTAAAGATGTGAAAAAAACGTGTTACTGAAATTTCAAAGTCATGAGCCAGGTGTAATATCACACATCTATAATCCCAGCATTTGGGAGTCAGAGGTAGGAGGAGTAAGAGTTCAAGGTCATCCTCGGCTACACAGGAAGCTGAAGACCAGCTTGGGCTGAGGCTCTGTCTCAAAAACAAAAAACAATACACCCAACCCTCCCCACTCCCTAATAAAATTATAAAGTTACTTCTATCTCTGAAGAAAGAACCTTGCAGACTTGAGAAATAGGGCAAGGTTCCATTCCCAGCCACAATTATCTCTAACTCTAGTTTCAGGGGATCTGACTCCCTCTTCTGGTCTCCATGGGCACTGCCCATGTGTGGTGCAATTGCATACATGCAGACAAAACACTCATACACACAAAATAAATCACTGGGAGTGGTGGGGCAGGCCTTTAAATTAAAGCACTCAGGAGGCAGAGGCAGGTGGATCTCTGAGTACAAGGCCAGTCAGGGCTGCATAGTGAAACTCTATCTTAAAATAATTGTTTATTTTGGGCTGGAGAGATTGCTCAGCAGTTAAGAACACTGTTCTTACAGAAGACCTGGGTTCGAATCCCAGTACCCACATGGCAGCTAACAACTGTCCGTAACTCCAGTTCCAGGGGATCCAATAGTCTCTTCTGTTTTCCACAGGCATTGCACAACATGGGTGCACTTACCTACATGCAGGCAATACACACATATACATAAAATAATAAAATATTTTTAAAAATTCATTTGAAAAAACTTTGAGAGTAAAAAAAACACCTTAATTCATATAAAAAAAGAACTGTGGATATTTATACTTCAGCCAAATAAACAGGCTTATGAGCCCATTTATTTTAAAGATACTTAGTTTTCACCTATCTTTTTGCTTGTTTTTTTTTAAGACAGGGGCTCCTATAGCCCCAGCTGGCCTGGAATTCCCTATGTAGATCAGGCTGGCCTCAAACTAGATCTGCCTGCCTCTGTTTCCCAAGTGTTAGAACTAAAGACTTGCCTCACCCCAGTTCTCGCCTATCTTATGTAACAATTTTTTTTAAATGTATAAATATACACGCAGTTTGAGTATCCCTTATCAAACTATTGGAACAAGAGTCATTTCAGATTTTGAAATCTTTGCTCCAAATTCTATTGTGCCTCTCAAACAGTTTCTGATTTTCAAGTTATTTCAGATTTCTGATGTTTGGATTAAGAATGCTCAATATATACATAAGAAATATTAGTTACTATTACGGGTGTAAAAATGAAATTATAACTCATCAAAAAACCAACCACCAACAAAAAAAACCTTAAAAAAAAAAAAATCCATCACCACTTACTCTACATTCTGCAATGCTTCTACTAATTGTGTCTTCTGATCAGGTGCCATACGGGCAAACACAGTGCCGTGCAACATCAACTAGAAAATAGAGAAATTTTAAGAAATACTGTTCACAATACGCTCATGAACACATCCATTAATTCTTAATTCATAGTACTTACCTTAGGAACAAGGTCTTGAAAATGCTCCAGTATTACTGAAAATGATTTTCCATTCATTGCAAAATGGTAACGTGTCAATTGAAGATCCTCTAAGCTATCATGGACCAATTTAATTGGAATAGCCTGTGCATGAGACATTCAAAAAAATACTTAGGCAGTCAAAACAAATAATTCAACACTATGTTAAATACACTTGTTCCAAAATTGAATTATTTCACATTGTAAATCAGAGCATTAAAACCTAAACATTTGTTCAAAGAAAAGTCTAAAATATTCACTCAAAAAGATAAAACAAGAAAAATTAAGGCTAAATCATCAGAGCTAGGGATGATGGCATGTGTCTATAATCCAAGCACTAAGGAGGTGGATGCAAGACCATCAGGTACTCAAGGTCACCCTCTGCTACATAGCAGTTCAAGGCCAACTTGAGCTACATGAGATCCTAACTCAAAACCCCCAAAAGACTAAACATCAGCTTTAATTTGAATGATCCACGAATTTAATTATTATGGACTATCTGAATCATTTATTGATAATTACCATTTCAAAATAAGAGTATTTGGGATTCTCATACTTTGAAACTAAGGTTTTCAATTTTGACTATCAAAATTTCGACACTGAAGACTTGTCCTAATGAATCAGAATCTCTGGTGATAGCCCAGGCTTCTGTAACTATTTTTCATATTGGATTTTTATGTAGCATCTTCTGTTTTTCAAACTAAAGTCAAACAAGCAAGCTTTAATTAGGAGAAACTTAATATTGCTATTGCCTTAATTAGGAGAAACTTAATATTGCTATTACCTCTGAGTCAATTGCTGATGAATCACTGCACTGTGTCAGGGAGTCCGCATAATGCCAATTGATCTTGGCAACTTTCCCATCCTTTGGAGGTAATGCTTCAGCAATAATAACTTTATCCTGAGGTAGAATCATTCCACAGTCTCTGGCCACAGAGACAGCAGTCAACATGTTATCACCTAATTTTCAAAATATTTAAAACACATTAAGATTGAAATGGAAACATGAATGTATCAAACAAGTACTGAGCATCTATTACAGTCTCTTTGGGAGGAGCAAAATGAGGATAACTAGGTTCACAAGATGGCTCAGCAGGAAAGGCACTCTGCCACCAAGCTGGATGAGCAGATCTCAATTCCCTGGAACTCACATGGAAAGAAAGAACTGATTTCCCAGTTGGCAAGTTGTGCATGAGCACACATAAATAAATGCAAAAAAAAATTTTTTTTTAATGTTTATGAGGAAGAAAAAGGGGATAATGTGTATGGACTTTACCCTTGGGAGTTATAAAATACTCAATTAGAGCGTACTTATTAAAATGAAATCTCAAATAATGGAAGCACATATATGCTAAATGGGTAAAATATTCTACCCCCCAATGTTTTTAAATTAAAAAAAAAATTATTTATTTTTATGTGTATGAAGAATGTTTTGCCTGCATGTAAGTGCACCCATGTCATGCAATGCCTTCAGAGGACAGAAGAGGGTGTAACTGGATGTCTCATTTTGTAGTCCAGGCTGGTTTTGAACTTGCAATCCTTTTCCCTCAGTCTCCCAAACACTGAGATTACAGGCTTAGCTCATGCCCACAATTTTAAAATATGAATGTCTTTCAACTTTGTACTATGTGTCCCACAGCATAAGGCAGAGTGCAACATACAGAGCGAATCCTTATAAACATCTTTTGAAATAACCTAGGAGAATGACTGGTTGTCTGTGTGTAAGAAGCACTAGTATAGTATCACAGAAGAGGATAAATTATAAAAGGCCAATTACATGAAAAAAAGTCAAGAAAGGTCATAAGACCAGATGGTTTAATAAGAAAACAGACTTCTCTGTCAAGAGAAGGAAAGAATCAAAGAAAAGGACAAGAGAAAGGCAGTATCTGGAGATCCCACTGGAGATCCCATTGCTACTAGAACTTAAGGGCAAGACATTTATTCTAATTTCCTATACTATCTTCCAAAGAAGTCCTTCTTAAGGCCACCAGAACACAAAGCAATGCTGTATGACGAAAAACAGGGAGGAAGAGAAATAGGTAGAAAGTACCTTGAAGGAAATGACAGCACAAGGAATGGTATCTGGAATGGTATTTAGAGCCACAAAGCATACTATTGGATGGCTCTCGGCACACAAAATATACTCATGCTTTTTCCATCTAAATTTTATTGAACATACAAATGCCACAAGTGAGTACCTTAAATCTGATTATTTTTCTGAGAAACAGAGGAGCTATAATTTTACATAGCTTTGGAAGAGAAATTATCTAGTATTAACAACAGTACCAACATGCCAAGAAGAATCATTCAGATGTAGTAGTTAAGAAACAACCCTCCAAAAAAGTTCTTTTCACTGTAGTAATTTAAACCAGGAACATAAATACTCTACATATAAAAATCTAATCTAGGGGCTGACAAAGATGGCTCAGTAGGTAAAGGCATCTGCCTCCCAGCCTGACAACATGATTTTGATCCATGGGATTTACATGACAGAAAGAGAACAAACTCCATAAGCTGTTCTCTGACCTTGTGCATGCACACACAATACACAAATCAAATGCAATGGAAAAAAAAATCCAGTCTACTAAAAAGCTTCTAGTAATAATTTTCTATATATATGTCAATACTAAAAATTGTAAAGGGTTCCAAAATGAACAAAATGTACCTTATCCTCAAGAACTTTATATTCTAGAAAACATTTGTAGATAATTTACACAACACAAGGTACAATAAGAAATTAAATACAGGCTGGAGAGATGGCTCAGCAATTAAGAGCACTGAGTGTTCTTGCAGAGGACCCAGGTTCAATTCCCAGCACCCTCACGGTGGCTAATAACCATCTGTAACTCCAGTTCGAAGGGATCCAACGCCCTCAAACGGGTACACTTACACACATGCAGGCAATACATTCATACACATAAAGAAAATAAAAATAACAAAAAAATAAAATTAAAGAGTGACAACAAGGAACAGAATTAAAATTTTTAGTGTTCCCTTCACTGACTATACTTTCTATAACATACTAAAACTCAAAACTGAGGACTGCAGGTCCACAGACCACTGTATAATAATGTGCTTTCAGAACTGACCATCCCTCAATATTACATAATTTGAACTCTTAAGAGTCCCACTCACTTTTTTTCTGTGTTCTTTTTTTTTTTGGTCTTTTTGAGACAGGATCTCCCTGTAGCCCCAGCTGTCCTGGAACTCACTATGTAGACCAGGCTAGCCTGGAACTCACAGAGATCTGCCTGCCTCTGTCTCCCAAGTGCTGGGATTTTCTGTGTTTTTTAATAAATCTAACCTGTGACCATGACAGTGCGAATGTTGGCTTTATGCAAATCTTCAAGTACTGCAGGTGTTTCTTGTTTTAATTTGTTCTGCATTATAATTAAGCCCATAAAATCCATGTTGTTTTCAATGGCATCTCTGCAGGAAAAGAATTGGACACATAATGGTTTAATTAGGACAAAAGATGTATTGACAATGCAATTTAAAATATCCTTGAGCTATAAAGTATCATATTTTACATTCTGAATAAACCTGTGTACATTTATCAATTCGGTATCTCCAAAAACTTAAATCTGGAAAAAATAATTTCCAAGACATATATTTTGGTATACTGAAATAAAAATTTACCCTTTGAAACATGAAATACAAAGGTTATTTGGAAATGTCTATCTTTGTAAAACATAAAACAGTTCTGGCACTAAAGAGGCATGACTCATATTTTATTCTAAAGTATGTAAGCATGAATCTTCACTGCTATTCCTCATAAATAGCCTAGTTTAAACATTAACAGAATAGAGAAGGGGACAGACTCTATCAGAAGTACATTAGGTACACTTATAACAGATTTTTTTTATTAAAGTCTTGATCAAGTCTATAGATTTTTCTATAAAAATTCTTTATCCTAGCAATGTGATAAAAAGAACCAGTACAACAATGAGCTCTACTCAGTACACAGCTATGTCTTTTAGAATAGTGATAACCAATAGTTATCAAAATGCTATTCTTCAAATTGTTGAGCATCAAGTATGCACAAGCACCACATAAGTCCCTAAGGTCAATGATGAAAGACATTCCTCAATTTTTTAATTTTATTTATTTAATGTGTATGCGTGTATTGCCTGCATGTAGGTAAGTGCACCCATGTCGTGCAATGCCCAAGGAGGTCAGAAGAGGCTGTTGGATCCCGAGACTGGAGTTACAGACAGTTGTTAGCTGCCATGTAAGTGCTGGGATTTGAACCCACATGTTCTGCAAGTGTTCTGCAAGAACAACCAGTGTTCTTAACCACTAAGCCATCTCTCCAGCCCCCATTCCTCAATTATTAAGACTCTCTTTGTGGAGAAACAAGACATCCAACCAGAGACATGAATGCAAAAACATATACTTTAGCACTATAATGGTGATGACATTCAGTGACAGGCACTTCCCTATAAAACCTCAAGCTACTAAAATTATTCCATAGGAATAACTTTTATCAACAAGGAAAGGATGTCTAAAGTTAAAAACTAAAACTTCAGACTTGTTATGACCAAAGTGCTGGGGTTGGGCTCAATCAAAAAAGTGCTGGCCATGAAGAATGAGCATGAAGACTTTATCTGGGTCCCCAGAACCAACATAAAAAGTCAGGACTGGTGGTACACAACTGTAACCCTATTGCTGGGGTGAAGAGACAGGAGGATCCCTGGAGCTTGCTAGCCAGTTAACCTTGCTACATCACTGAGTTTCAGGTTGAGAGACTGTGTTTCAAACATTCAGGTATGGAGTGACAGAGGAATATGCCCAACATCAACCTCCAGCCTAGGCCCACATACAAACACATGCTTACAACATAAGTACATGAATTCAACAATAAAGGGGCCCGAACATACCTTTATGAAACCTAAACGTTTTGGAAATACCTACTTCATAGTAAGTCCACTCAGGAGAGTCTTACAGAGCACTCAGGAGGAAATTTAAAAATGAGTTATGACTACAGTTGATGGAAGGGGATGAGGATAGAAAAAGTGAGAGGGAAAGGGAAAGTAAAGGACATCTGAGATCTGATTGTCTTCAAAGCACAAAGTTGTACCAATGTGACACTACTGTGTCAAGAGCACTGGACCACATTCCAATGGGGCTTTACTTTCTGGTTTCCTAACTCTGTTATGACTGACAAATTTCATGGATACTTTGTATTCAACAAATTGTACAATTCTCAAAATATAAAAATTTAAGCAATATGAGAAATGCGAAAGCCTACTGCTATAAGGCAGAAACACATAGAAGGTCTTAGCTGAAGGAAAAGGAATAGAGAAAGTTAATTGGGGCATGGGGGGAGGAAGCTGTTACAGAAATGGTTCAGCAGTTAAGAGCATTGGCTGCTCTGGCAGAGGAGCCTGGTTTGGTTCCCAGCACCCACATGGAGGCTAACAACCATCCATAACTCCAGATTCTAGGGACTGCAAAACAGAGATGCACTTACACGCATGCAGACAAAACATTACATGCAAAAAATAAATTTAAAAAATTTAAAGTTAATAGGGAGTTCTAGACAAGATGTTACAGAGTATTCAGGAAAGTTAAAGTGAGTGTCACTACTGACAGGATGTTCTGCGCAAAAGGTACAGTCTATTCAAAGACGTGAAAGGGTGTCTAAATAGGACAAGCTCAAGAACAATATGCAACAAACAATTGTTTTTAAGGAAGAAATGGCGATGAAAGGATGAATGCTTTACAAAGAGAAGAAAAACTTATACGCTCTTTGTAGGAATTAGGCTTTATTATATATCTGTGGTTCCCAAAGAGATATAGGCATCAGTTCACTAGGTTTTTGTTTTGTTGTTGCTGTTTTTGAACCTCACTCATGTGCAGCCTACTCCAAAACAACGCAAAACTATCAGGACAATCAATGTTCTTTTCTGATTATAAAATATTAAACACAGCATGAAATATTCCTAAACTAAAACATTATCCTCATAGGGTAAGTCCATTATCAGTTACAATAACAAAATCCTTAATGTGATGGTTAGTGTTAATTGTCAATCTGGCAAAAACCTAGAATCACCTGGGAGACAAGACTCTGAACATGCCTGTGGGGCTTTTTCTTATGTTAATGGAGGTAGGAGGACAAGCCTATTGTGAGTGGCACCATTCCCTGGCTGGAATCCTACCTAGACTGTAAAAATGGACAAAGGGAACTGATCAACAGCCAATATAGTCATCTCTCTGCCTCCTGTTTGCAGATGTGATGTGAACAGATGCTTCAGATCTTGACTTGCCTGCCATAACACTGTACCCTGAACTGGGCCTAAAATAAACCCTTTTTTCCTAAAGCTGCTTTTGTCAGAGTATTTTACATAGCAACAGGAAACAAAACCAAGACAAATGTGAAACCCATACATATACATAATAAGAAAAGTGACACCAGTAATGTCATTTGGCAGAGGGTAGAAAGAAATGTGAAGAAAGGCTACTGGGTTTGTGACTCATGAAACTGACCAAATTAGCATTTGGTTCCACTGGGCAGTATTTTTAAAAAATTACTTATTTTACTGTATGTGTGTAAGTGTACGGTTGCATGTAAGTAAGCTCACCCATGTCGTATAATACCTGCAGAGGTCAGAAGAGGACACCAGATCCCCTGGAACTGGAATTAACAGATGGTTGTTAGCCACCATCTGGGTGCTGAGAACTAAACCCAGGTCTTCTGCAAGAGCAACTAGTGCTCTTAACTGCTGAGCCATCTCTCTAGTCCTGGATAGTATCTTTTATGGAAAATAAAAAGAAGAATCATTTACTGTTCCTAAAACATGCCTGGCACACAGTAAGAAGCTGATAAGAATTCAGTTCCAGGGGATCCAACACCCTCTTCTGGCCTCCACAGGCAGTGCATTCTTCTACCTCTTTACACATATAAACATAATTTTAAAATAAAAATTTTTTAGAAACTTTAAAAAAGAATCTGATGACAATTTAACAAACTACAAGTACTTCCAAAGAGTTGTGAAGAAAAAGTCATTTCAGTAATATAAACACACACACATGCACAAAGTCAATATAGAAGTAAAGGCAAAACTGAAGTTTTAACCCGAACTCCTAAAGCATTAAATATGCTTTCACACATTCAATATTTATTAAACACACAATTACATGAAACTGCTATACTATAAATAACTTGTAAGAATACAGTGGTACATTAGTGGAACTGTGAGAAAGTAACTCAGACTCACCTGCTAATATGTTGCACTTTATGCCATGTCAGTCTTGACTCCAATTTTCTGTGTGCAAGAGCAATCACACGGAAGCCCTGTTTGGTATAATCTTCTAAAACTTTCTCAAAATCCACTGGAACTTTAAAAACAAAAAGTAAACTTGATTTCAGAACTACTTTTAGAAGTTCACGGAGACACCAGGATTTCTTGAGCCTGGTCATTTCCTCACCTGTCTCAGGTTTGCAAAGACTGGCAATGACCTCAGGGGCTCCTTTCATGTAGGCGTCCATTTTCTTATCGCCCAGCACCCTTGCAACCACACTCATACGTTGTAAAGCAGAAGAAAATGGGAACTGGCGAACAATTCCTATCTCATAAATAGCCTATTTAATTTCAAAAGATGTGCAGAGGATTTATTACTCCTTAAGAATAAAAGCAAAGGTACTCATCTAAAAAGAAAACAGTCTTCACTTACTGGAAGTTCAAACAGCTCCTAAAGACAAGAGAAGAAAAGTACAGATTAGTCCATTAATACACACCAGCTAGAAAAAAAAGAACCACAAAGTATAGTAGAAGATAAGAACGATGATTATTTCCAAGTCAGAATCTAAGATTCCCTCTATACCACCTCCCTTTAAAAGGTACATCCTTAGGGAACAGCTCCATAGTGGAGCACCTGCCCAGCATAGCGTGCAAAAGGCCTGAGATTCAAAACTGACACATTAAATGCTAAAATAAATGAGGGGGGAAAACTGAAAAATTTACCTAAAACTAATAAAAGTCCCCTTTTATAAATTCTTTTTAGGAAATTCTACGAATACAGATAATTTTTAAAAAGGCAATTAAATAAATCATAAAGCACTAAAGCTATTCAGTAAATAGGAAAAAAACATAATGACGATAAAAAAATCTCAATGTTTAATAGAGAATGGTTATTTTTTTTTTTGATAAATGTGGTTAAAATACTTGCATCTGCATGAGAGTAAAATAAAATATTTGACCTCTAGCAACAAGCATCCACTATGTTTTCCAGCATTTAAGTAACTTTATACCATTTCTTGATTTCTTGCAGGTGTAGATTCAGGAAGCAGCTGTTTGGAAGGACGAACCACAGTGGGCATAATTCGATTATGAAGAGCTGTTTCTTCTTCAGTTGCTTCTTCAAGAATCTAAAAAGAAAATATTCAAAACATCACTTTGTAAAATTACAAAGAAGTTCTATTTTTAAGTGGAATATTTAAAAAAGAATGGCTGCCAACAGACAAATGAGCACTACTAGATTATTCATGTAAATAAAACAAAATCTAAAAAGAGCTAGTTAGATACTTGGCAATCCATGGGCAAGTAGAGACAGAACTTGGAAGTAGAATAAAGAAACAGACATAAACACCATTCATTCATTGCTACAATCTGTTGGGTTTAGAGACTACTTCTGGAAAACAGATTGTTGTCAGTTTTAAGTATTTTCAGTCTATAATCTGAAAATGCCTGATGGTGCATACCTATATAATCCCAGCACTCAGGAGCCAAAGGCAGGAGAATCAAGAGTTTAAGGCCAACCTTGGCTACAACCTGCACTTGCAGCCACCCTAGGCTACATAAGACCCTTTCTTAAACAAATGGAATTCAAATATGGGTTAGCAGATCCAAATGTAGAAAATGGGCCGTACTAATGTGTTTTGAGCCTTATTATGAACTCATGAACACTTCAAGTTAAGCCATTAAGCCACAACTCCTTGAAATTCATGTTAAAATAACACTTGAGAGTCAGCAAGATGGCTCAGGAGATAAAGACATTTGTCACACAGACCTGTCAACCTGAGTTTGATCCCAAGATCCTACAGTGGAAGGAGACACACAAGTCTCAAAAGTTGTTCTCTGACCTCAACATATGTGTCATGGGACACACATGCCTATACATACACACCAAAAAAAACCAAAAAAACAAAAAGCAAAAACATTAAAAATTTAAGAAGCACCAAACATTTCAGAGGGTTGTAACAGACTAAATCCCCGAGAAACAGACAGTCACTGATGCATAATCAAGATGGGACACTTCCTATTTCTTCTTGGTCTAAGACAGAAAACCTGTGAGGTCTTTTCTGGTGGCAAATGACACACCCTTTCCAGACAAGTTCAGGTAAGACCAAGGCTGGTCCTGAATGTACCTTAGTTTGAAGCTGCAGCTTACTGGCTATCTCTTCTTTAAAATGACTAACCCAAAATTAGGGGTGGGGAACTGACAAAAAACACTTAAAAGGCCAGGTCCAAGCTGTTGGACTTTTTGGCTTCTCAATCCCCTCTTAACTTGTGCAAAGTTTTTTCTCTCCATGTCTCTGTTACCCACTGCTTTCTGCTGTGTCTGATATTTCTTTTTTTCCTGCCATTCAATTCTGCAATTGGCTGATCAAGACCCCCTAGATGGTAATAGGGCGAAGTAAAAAAAAACTTCAAATGTACCAAGGATTTAAAGGTCAGTGGAAGAATGTGTACCTACTGTATACAAGGCAACAAAAAGAAAAAATAAAGTCAAGCAAAATCCTGTATTACATACACATAAAGAGAAAAATTAGGTACTTTAAAATCAGTAACTGGAAGGAATATTAATGAAAAAATTGTGGGGAAAACTTTAAATAATTAGCCAAATTTATGCAATTGCACATTTTCCCAACTCAGAAACTGGAATGTATTTTACATTATATTACATTAATCACAGCAAGTAAAGTAGCAGTGGTGCCTGGTTATGTGAAATCACTCTACTGCTGTGAAAGTTTCACCAAGATCAAGCATCAACACATTTCAAGGACAACAAAATAGGGTGTTACATCATTTACTTATGTTACCATTTTTTTTCCCTGAAGATCAACTACTAAGCACTAAAGCCTATTGAAAATATTAACAAGGACTGGGCATGGCTGGAGCACACTTTTAATTCTAGAGGCAGAGGCAGTCTGGTCTACACAGTGAGTTCCAGGCCAGCTGGGGCTCAGGGAGACCCTATCTCAAAAAATAATCAAAAATAATTAACGAACAAACGTTAGACAACCAGGGCTGGAGAGATGGCTCAGCAGTTAAGAACACTGACTGTTCTTGCAGAAGACCTGGGTTCAAGTCTCAGCACCCACATGGCAGCTAACAACTATACGTAACTCCAGTTCCAGGGGATTCGACAGCTTCTTCTTGCACAACATGGGTGCACTTATCTACATGCAGGCAATACACGCATACACATAATAAAAATAAATAAAAATTAAAAAAAAAAAGTTAGACAACCACCCCCGAAAAAAAAAATCAGAAAGAGCAAATAAAGCAAATCAGTACTGGAGACTGATTTCAAATACAGAAAAAGGAAATAAGGGATAAGGGAGTCTTTCTCTAGATACAAATATCCCAACAGGAATAAATGGTGTAATAATGAGGGCTAGCATTTCAAATCAAAATTCTTGTGTAATTATGGTGTAAGTGAGGAAAGTGACTGAAAGTCTAGGTCTACTGTTGTTCCTTTGAAACTGAAAAGTGCCTGTTATGGGACCCTACCCTTAGCACACACAAAACCCTAGTTAGTCTTCACATTCAGTGTGACACTTCTCAGAAAACATAGCAATACATATGTAAGAAAAGACTAAAATTTCTCTGCAGCTAGCCAAAATTACAAAAGCACACCTCTCTCAATCCCCATGCGTATGTTACTGAAGACTGAATCCAGACCCCTATGCATTTAGATAATACTCTCCCACTGAGGTACAGCCCCAGAACTTTGTTTGTTCTTTTATTTTTTTCATTAAATTGCCTGAGCAGGCCTGGTACTTTGGATCCTCCTGCCTCAGCCTCTGAAGTAGCTGGGCTCATAAGCCTATGCCACCAGGCCCTGCGAGACCAGGAGAGTTTCATCCAGAGGAGTAATGAAAATCGAAATAAAGAAAAAACAACAACAATGAAAAACACACACAAGAAAAAAATAAAGACAGAAAAGACAAGAAAAGGAAATAAATTTTTCCCTAGAGAAAATGGCAGAAAGGAACTTACTTTTTTGACAGGTCTCATACAACGCAGGTTGACCTCACACTCCCTATTGTAGCAAAGAATAATCTTGAACTTCCAATTTTGTTTTTATTTATTAGTATTAGGTGTTTTGCATCTGCAACGTATGCAAGTGTACCATATGTATACAATGGAGGATGAAGAGAGCATCATATCCCCTGAAGCTGGAATTACAGACAGTTCTAAGCTGTAAAGTGTGTGCTGGGTACTGAAACCTTGCTCTGCAAGAGCACCCAGTGTTGTTAACTGCTGAGCCATCTTTCCAGCCCGGTTTCTTAAAGTTAGACCTTGAGCTTCTGATCCTCCTACCTCCACATCCCCAGTGCTGGGATTACAGGCATGTGCCACCACTGCTGGTTTTATATGGTACTGGAAATTGAATCCAGGGCTTCATGCATGCAAGGCAAGCATTCTACCAACTGACCCATATCTTCAGTTCCAGAAGGGAACTTTCTACAAAAGAACTTAATGGTGTAAAATAGTAACCAGAGCACATAAGCTGTTATTCACAAATCATCCATGGCAAAAACAGAACACCAGAGAGAGAGAGAGAGAGAGAGAGAGAGAGAGAGAGAGAGTTAGTTTTGTGAATAAATGTAGAAGACAGAACAAAAGAACACTAAAAACATGGTTACTTTATACATTTACCTATGCCTACAAATTATGTCATCAGGACCATCTTATTGACATCTAGTCTACTGCCTTGAATTGTGGCACTCTCTTCATTGTAAAAAGCAAGGGCCCGAGTTGTTAGTCTCTCCTAAAGATGTTTAAGAACTGGACATGGTGACACACACCTATTAATCCCAGAGCCTGGAAGCTGTAGGCATGAGGACCAGAGTTCAGGGTTATCCTTGGCTCCATAGTGAGTTCAAGGCCAGCCTGGGCTACATGTCTCAAAAATTAAAAAAAAAAAGTGTTTAAATACATTAATTTAATAAATTAAACAGGTGCTTTCTGTATAAATATCCAGTGACTTAATATTAACTATTATAGTTAATGCTTTTTGTAGTTTTAAGAAGCTACCATTAAAACTCACAGAAATAATCCTCCTGTGAGGTAAATTTTTACTGTATTTTCCTGAAGTTACTTATACTTTGAAATGTTGAACTTAGCTGGTGTGGTGGCACAAATTGGTACTTCTAGCACTTGGGAGCATGAGACAGGAGGACCTTAGGTTCATGTCCAGCCTAGTCTACACATCAAGACCAGGGGGCAAAGGGCAGGGGCCGCACTGGGAATGTAGCTCAGTTCTGTTGGTAGTGTTTTCCTAAAACGCACAAAGCCCTGGGTTCAACCCCCAGTTCCACATAAACTAAGGGGTCATGGCCCATGCCAGTACTCAGGAAGTGGAAGCAGGAAGATCAGAAATTCAAGATTATTCTCAACTACCCGGCTGTGCTTGAGGTGGGTGCAGGCTACATGAAACCCCACATCAAAAACAAAAAGTTTGAACTTACCCATCCAATGGCTTCAAACATTTTCAAATCAAGTGGGTCACCAGAAAGAACTCCTTCAATTTTTGTAAGGGAATGACAAGTAGCCATGCAAGCAACAAACTGAGATTTTACCAACATCTCACTGCAAACACTCTCTTCTGGTAAAAGAAATCTACATAGAAAATATACACTGAATTAGAGTCATCAATCTACAGAGTCAAGCCAACACTTTAATACACCTTTCCAGATTTTGTAATAAAAATAAATAAATAAAGCCAACCAAGCATGGTGGTGAATCTCTGTAATCCCAGCACTTGGGAGGATCAGGAATTCAAGGCCAGCCTGAAATACGTAAGATCCTGTCTTAAAAAAAAAAAAATCTTCTAAGCCTAGGTGCAGTAATACAGGTACACGAGGAGAGGTGGGCAAATTTAATTAAATGTTCAGAGTCATCCTGGCCCATACAATGAATTCAAGCCAGAGCTGACAATAAGAGACCCCTATCTAGGGGATCCAATGCCCTCTTCTGACCTCCATGAGCACTTCATGACATGGGTGCATTTACACACATGCAGGCAATACACTTATACACATAAAAATAATAAATATTTTCAAAAAAGAGAGATCCCTGTCTAAAAAAACTCAGGGCTTAGTTACCTCCCTACAAGTTATGAAGTATTTATTATGTTACTATGTACTGCTCTAAGCAGTTTATATATATTGACTCATTTAATTTTTGCTTTAGTTTTTGTCCTCCCCTCCCCATACTAGGTATTAAAGTCAGGGCCTCAAAAATGCTAGGCAAGTGCTCTAATCCTGAACTATATCCCCAGGCTAGTAAGGTATTTTATTATTCCCACTGTATATAAGGAGACTGAAGCTGAGTGGCTAAGTAGCTTGTTCCAGGTTACACAACCTGCAATAGCAAATTTAGTCTCAGGCATCTCCCCAGGGACCCCACCCCACCCTGTCACACCTTTTGAGCCAGGCTCATGTAATCCAAGTAGGCCTTGAACTTGTGTAGCTGAAGAGTGACCATAAATTCCTAACATCCTGTCTCTGCCTCCCAAGTGCTGAGATAACAGGCATGTGTTACCACATCTGTCCTTTATCCCATTCATAAGTTCAGTTCTAGGGGATTCAACACCCTCTTCTGTCCTCCATGAGTACTGCACAACTGCACAACATGGGTACACTCATATATATGCAGGCAATATACTCAAACACATAAAAATTTAAAAATAAATGGACTAATGAACAGAACAGACAGTTCTCAAAATAAGAAGTATCAATGGCCAATGAATACTTGGAAAAGTAACATCTTTAGCCAGCAGAGAAATGCAAATCAAAACTATATATGAGATTCCACCTTATCCCCAGTCAGAGTGCTATCACCAGCAAAATAAACAACAGATGCTGGTGAAGATGTGGAGAAAGAGAAACTCCTATAAACTACTGGTGGGAATATAAATTTCTGCAGCCACTATGGAAATCAATATAGAGGTCCCTCATGAAACTAAACCTAGAACTACTATAGACCCAGTTACAGCACTCTTGGATATACATCCAAAGCTAAGCCAACATAAAACTTGTCTATGCATGTTTATTGATGCACTATTCCCAACAGCTAGAAAATGGAATTGCCTAGATTATATTTCAACAGAATAAAGAAAATGTAGTACAAATGGAGTTTTATTCAGTCATAAAGGAAAAATACATTGGGACATATGCAAGAAAATGGAAATTACTGTGTAATGCAAAATAAGCCAGACTCAGAAAGACAAATACGACATTTTCTATCGTATGAGAAACCTAAATTAAAGTTGTGTGTTCGTGTATATCATGAAACTAGAAAGGGGATCATGAGAGGAGCTCCTAGGGAGGAAAAGCAAGAGAGTAACGCAACATATGTGACATGAAAACAAAAGGTGGGATTATCTGGGGAGAGGAAGGGAATATGTGTGTGGAAGGCACAGGGGAGAGAAGTGAGGGAGAGGAATGAACTAGAAAAAAGTACACATATGAACGAAAGTGCCATAATGAAGCCCATTACTTTGTATGCTAACTTTAATTTTTTAATTAAAAAAAAAAAAATAGGGCTGAGATGGATCAGCAGGTCAAGGTTCTTGCCACCACACCTAACATCCTGAGTTCAATCTCCAGAACCCACCCAGATGGAGACTCTAAGTTATGCCCTGACCTCCACACACCCACTGTGGAATGACCATGGCCACACATAAAATAAACAACACAAAAATTAAAAGCATATACGTAAAGCACATATAGCAAAATGTCAACTGTTTATAGTCTTGGTGGTGGGCACACAGGTGTCTGAATGTTGCATATGCTAAAATATTAATTAACTAATAAGCTATAAAATCTAGCTAATATTTACCGAGTATTTTCCACTCGTTGAATCCCCCACAGATCTAAGCCATCTTCAGTAAGAGTTCCAGTCTAAAATTTAAAGAAAGTACATAGGCATAAAGTAAAGATAATGCCTAAAAAAAAAACTAAGTCCCAAGACCCATACCAATAAAAATAATGCTCCATGCACACAATGGAGCACTACAATACAGTCCAAAAGAAAAGGAGAGGCAGGAGCTCTGTGTAATGACAGTGAATGACTTCCAAGACATATGGCTAATGTGAAAAACGGTGCAGTAGTCTCAGTATGGCTCCTTCAAGTGAAAGAGAAGAATGTACCTGTGTTGTCTATATCCACGTGCTTACACTGTGAAAAGAATGCATCTATCAACCTATCTATCAACCAATAAACAGTACTGGTTAACAATGCAACAGAATAGGGTTTAGGGAGCCAAAGGATTTTAACCAATACCAAGAGGAAAAGGTCAATTACAAGTAAATGGCTGTTTTCCTCAAAAAAACGGTTGGGTATTCAATGAAATTACAGAGTAAGCACTAAAAACATGTACTTAGTATTTACTATGATTTTTATTACTCGTATCTGTGGAGCCTTAAATTAAAATTACCTAAAAACACAAAAGACCACATGATTTGTACTTATTATCATGGTATCATATATTTTGCTACTGTTACATCTTAAACTACCTTTTCAGAGGTGGTATCATATCATGTTGCCCAAGTGGCATAGAACTTGTGGGCTTAAGCTATCTTCCTCCAAGAGACAGAGCGAGAGAGATGGGGAATATGGAGGAAAAACTTGAGAAAAATATTTAAAAATCAATATATGCAAAATAAGCTAAGGTAAAGAAAAATAAGCTAGGGTAAAGAAAAATCAGAGGAACAGTATAAAAAATTCATAAATATCAATAGCCAGGCGTGGTGGCGCACACCTTTAATCCCAGGACTTGGGAGGCAGACGCAGGTGGGTCTTTGTGAGTTCAAGGAAGGCCAGCCCAGTCTACATAGTGAGTTCCAGGACAGCTGGGGCTACAAGGAGACTGTCTCAATAAAAAGGAAAAAAAAAAAAAAGGAAAATATCAATATAAGAAACAATTATGAAACTGAACTAACCTTGTCAAAGCAAACAAGATTCAGCTGTCCACAAATATTTATCCTTTGGGGACTGATACAGAAAATCCCAACTTTTTTCAGCCTTCTCTGTGCATACACAATCCCAGCAGTCATTGCAGCAGGAAGTGCAGGTGGCACAGTAATTGTAATGATATCAAGAGATTTAATTATTATTTCCCCAACTTCTTCCTGTAGTTAACACAAAAATAAATGTCAATCTCACAATATTCAACTTACTAATTTAATGTGGAGGTTCCTTTAATGGAAAAGTAAAATAAGCATTTAAAACTTTTTTAAATTTATAAGCATAAACACACATCTCTATTTATTTATTTTTTTTTCATTCAAAAATTCTGCCAAAGGGCAGGGGAACATAGCCCAGTGGTAGAATGAATGCTTGCTTAATAGACATGGGGCCCTAGGTTCAATCCTCAGTGCAGGAGAAAAAAGGGAGAGAGAAAGGTCAGTGAAGTATCCAATGGATGAACAGAATAGCAGCAAAAGGAAACTTCTAATGGTTAAAGAATACTTGTCTTATTTTAATTTTTTTTGGTCTTTTTGAGACAGGGTTTCCCTGTAGTCCCACAGAGAACTCACAGAGATCCACCTGCCTCTGCCTCCGAAGTGCTGGGATTAAAGGCCTGCACCACCACACCCAGCAATAGCTTATATGACTACCTTCAAATCAAGTTCAACTATCAAATACTGTCTTACCCTACATGCACCTGTGCCAGTCTCCTAAGAGGCTAGAATGAAGAAATCAGATAAGGTCTCTTAGAAGAGCCTTCAATGAAATGTTTAAAAATACTTTAGTAAGACAAGAATGGTGGCACACACCTATAATACTAGCACTTGGAAGGCAGGAGGATTGTTTTGTGTTTAAGACCAGCCAGGAACAGGACAACACAGCAAGATCCTGTCTGTCTCAAAAACAAAACAAAAATGTTTTTTTGGTCTTTTTGAGACAGGGTCTCCCTGTAACCCCAGCTGACCTGAAACTCATTCTGTAGACCAGGCTGGGCTTGAACTCACAGAGATCTCCCTGACTCTGTCTCTCAAGTGCTGGGATTAAAGGCGGGCACCACCACACCAGATCACAAAACAAATTACTATTGAATATTTTATTCTATCCCAAAAATACGAAAGAAAAGTTTTTGGTGTGTGTTGAGGTTTTACATTGTAAACTGGAAAGTGAAAGACCATTTTAACCAGAGATTTAAAAAAAACTATCAAGTTATGATTGCAATGTTCTAGATTTGTGGGGTTTTGTTGTTGTTGAGACAGGGTTATGTAACCCAGGCTAAATTAGAGTTTTCAATTTTCCTGCCTAGGCTACCCAATATAGGTATGCTTTCTAATGTAAGACAAGTTCCATAGTTTCTTCAGTTAAATTAAAATTTCAGTTCTTCAGTCTCACTAGTCATACTTCAAGATACTCAACAGCCACATGAAATAATTAAAAATCAAACCACCGAAAGCATAATATACATACCTTGTTTAAAATGCTATTGATAATTGTGTAGATGAATCCAATGCCAGCCACTGCTACAAGACACAGTAGAAACAAGTAGGCATCTCTGTAGAGTTTAAAATCAGTTGGTTTGGGATATAGTATAGAACGAACAAGCTGTCCTTTAGAAGTACTAAATCCTTTAAAAATATTAAAGAGGAAAATTACTTATCTTTTTATGAAGATTATCTCCCCAAAGAGAATCCCTTTATAAACACTGGGTAGGTTTCAAATATGCTAAACCATCCAAGAGATGCTATCTACCTGTTCTAACTACTATGGCTTTCACAAGTTCTCCAGTGTAGAAACGGGTCTGAATAACAGTCGTCCCACAAAACAAAGTGTGGCGTTTATGTGTTTCTGGACTATATAATTCCTCTCCCATTCCTTTTACATCCACTGAAGGATTTGGCAAATTAGTCTTTGTCACTGGAACACTTTCTCCTATTTAAAAAAAAAAAAAAAATGAAATTTTAAAGAGCATAGAAATCAATGCCAAATACACAGTGGGAAAAAACAAATTGTGAAATACTCTAAATGTTACTAGTATTCCATGTAACAGTCAATAACTGCTCTCTATATGGACAACATAATCAATCAGCTTTTGTTCACCAATTTGGTTCATTTGAGAAATACCAAGTTCTATTTCTCACAGCAATTCCAGAGAGTGATTTGTGACCCAAAGATAATGAATGCCTGCCTTTCTTTGGATGACTGTTACTGAACTTCAAAATAATTTCAAGGACAAGTGGTTGGCAATAGGCCCAGCACAAGTTCTCATGGTCTTAGGAACTGAATTAAAAGTACTGTTACCTTGAGCACCCAGTAATGTGAAGAAATCATTAACCACCCCTAGACATACAGACACAGGCAGGCAGGCAGGCGGACACATGCCATGGTAACAGAGAAAAGGTATTTATTTGAGAGAAAAATAGAATGACTGGTATGGGGGTTCTTTCTTTTAAAATGTAATTCTCTGTAGCATTCTTGCCTAAGTGTATAGAAATACATGTGTAACATAGTGTTTTAAAGACAAGACCCAAAATATGTAGGAAAATCAGTATGATTTAAGACAGAAAGATCTACTTCAGGTTTGTGAATTTCAAGCAATGTCACTTTAAAGTCCACTACTTCCCAGTTTAAGAAAAATGTAAAAACCTAATTTATTGCCATTTTTTCCATAAAGAATACAGAAGCAAATCTGCTGTATTCTCTGTGGACAAAGGACTTCTTTCCTCCTCCCTTACTATAAGCCATTTCCCCATGTCTAAGGAGTAGCAAGAAGCCAGTCCAGGCATGCTCTCTGTACCAGAGTAATGGTTTAGCATTATAGTTTAGCTTAGAATGGGGCCTAAACACACACATACACATCATATTTAAAATTAATGACATAGTTAACTTTTAAAAAGTTTATACTACTTAATATTAATATCATCATAAACAAAAAAGCATGCTACTTGTTGATTCCACTTACCTGTTAACATGCTTTCATTTACGATGCAAGTACCACTAATAAGTACTGCATCACAAGGCATAACTGTCCCATTTAATGGAATGACCATGACATCTCCTGGCACAAGGTCTGTAGAAAAGATTTCTTCTACTTCTGAATTTAAAGAAAGAAAAGTTAAAAGAAAATATTTTTTAATTTGGAATAAAAATATAGCAAACAAATGATCTAACCAAAGGTCTCTCACTATCAGTTAGTTAGAAATATGAGATTAATATCCAAATCCTATTACATGGAGTGCTTTGATGAATGGGACTACATTAACAAAGCATGGTATGTCAGCTAACAGTTTACCTCTTGACAGTCTACCAACTGAGCACAGGTGATGCCAAGTCCCTCAGCGCACTCCCCAACTCTAACTGTTAATCATCAATATTAGCTATCAGCCATCTTGAAATACAAACATGAATTCATAAAGGAAATTCTGTTGAAACAGGCAAAATGAATTCACATTTCTTCACTCCACGGAAACAGAAGGAAATATGAAAAGGTTAAAATATTTTCTTTAAAATGGCATTGTTTTCTTTTGCTTGGTGCCACTATTTGTATGTCTCATATCTCACTCCTTCTCAGTATTCTTTAGTCATTTAAAATATTACGCATGTCAAGTAATGCTGGGTGTGGGAGAATAGTCCTGTATTCACAATGACTGCTTCGAGTTAGAGGATAGTTTGAGAACCTTGTCTAAAAAGCACCAAAAACCATGAGGTATTATAGTTCTGGCAATAATCCCAGCAACCTGGGGATCAGCAGCGGGAAAATCACAAGGTCAAGGTCACCCTCAGCTTAGACTACTTAAAAAAAATAACCTGCAAGTATGATTGCAGCTAACTGAGGGTATCCTCTCAGTGAGAGGAAGTGACCAGGAAAGAAGCAATCACTTGGATATAGTCTACAGAGTCAATGGAGACTGAACTGGGCACAGTGTATATCTGTAATAACAGGTACTTGGAAGCTTTAGGATGGCAAAGTTGAGGCCAGATTAGCCAATTTAGCAGTCTTACCTAGTTTTCTTAAAAAAAAAAATTTTTAAGGGGGTGGTAAGAGATGGTTCAGTGGTTAAGAACACTGCTGATCTTGTAGAGGACCTGGGTTCAATTCCCAGAACCCACGTGGCAGCTAACAATCATCCATATCTCCAGTTCCAGGAGAACCCAACGCCCTCTACTGACCTCCATGGGCATTGCAAGATACGGGTGCACTTACATGCAGGCAATACATTCATACACATAAAATAAAAAATATAAATATTTTTTTAAAGTGGTGGTGGAGCTGTGTGTGGTGGTGCACGCCTTTAATCCCAGCACTCAGGCAGAGGCAGGCAGATCTCTGTGAGTTCAAGGCCAGCCTGGTCTACATAGTGAGTTCCAGGACAGCTGAGGCTACAGGGAGACCCTGTCTCAAAAGACCCCTCTCTCCCCCAAAAAAATGGTGGTAGGAGAAGCTTGGTAATAAAACTGTTGTCTACCATTAAGTAGGAAGTGAGAGGATGGGAAGAAAAAAGGGAGAGAATATATAAAAATGAAGACTGATTTGGTATTCTGAAGAAATTAAAGTAGTTACTGCCTCCAAAGACTATGGTGCTATGCTATCTCTCCTTCCCTCTTCAACATCTCAGTAGGCAAACCTAGATGTTCCAGACATTCTCCTTACTAAAATCCCTGTTTGTCTTTCAGTATTTCCTGGGTACTTAAAAACCACCAATATCCATCCATCCATCCACCTTCCCTCATACCTCTGAGACTTCACATTCAACTATCATCAAATCTTGTTCAATGCCTACGTTTCAGTATCATTCAAACCCATTTTCTTTCTCATCATCATTGTAACTCCTATCTTGCTCCAGGTCATGTCTTCGGTATTGCTCTCTTCTAAATAAGTCTAAACATGGAAGGATTATTTGTTTCTTGCAAAGGACAAACAGGATCATGTCACTCCTCTACTTCAAGCCCTTTACTGGTTCCCATTGCCTTTTGGATACATCCAAATTCCTTAACTATGCCCCATTCATCATTTACTTGCTTCATGTGCCTTTGCTGAATTTCAGTTCTTACAATGACTACACAATCTTGAATTTCAGGCCCCTAGGTGTTTAATATCCTCTCCCCATCTACCAACTTATCATTTGTCCCTGTTTAGCTAATTCAAATACCACTTAAGACTTACTTCGAAGATGCCATTCCCAATGCTTTTATACACAAGTTCTCCCTAGGACTAAGTTCTCTCATCTCTGTACTTATCATACTTTGTTATTGTATATCTGTCTTTCCAACCAGACTTAACACCCAGAGAGAGTCTGGTACCTACCACACAGTACAAAAAAGATATATACAAATTTACATAAATGAACTTGACATAAACTCAGAAACCTAAATGGTTATTATCAATCCTTTAATCCAAAAATAAATAAATGTCTGGAGACATGGTTCAGTGGGTAAAGGAGCCTGCCTCCAAGCCTAATTGAAGGCTGAAGTCAAACCCACATGGTAAGGAGAGAACTGATTCCCATGAGCTGTCATTTGATCACATATATGTCATGGCATACAGATACATACACGTGTGTACACACACACACATACACTCACAAAATGGATTTACTTCATGAGCAATTAATGGGATTGGGGGGGCGTGCATTTGTTATTCTTTGAACCCTCACCTGAAGTACTTACCTTCATTTACTCTACAAACTGAAACTCTCACGGTACTATGAGCTGCCACCATGTCATGCAACATAACATATTGCTGAAAGAAAAGAATGAAATTAAATACTAACAAACATAAACCTATTCCTGAAGATACTAAAAGAGCAAGAATGCTAAAAAAAAAAAAAAAAAATGAGGTACATTACTGTGATTGATGTCTTATTGCTCTATCTTATATAAAAAGTCAAGAGTCAGGGGCTAGGGAGAGCATTCAGTGGATAAGGCTCTTACTTTTCGAGCTTAGATCCCAAACAACACTCATGAATATGTCAAGTGGGAGAGGCAGTCTGCCTATAATTCCAGCACTCAGAAGGCAGAGGCACCCAAGAGACAGATCCCCCCAGAGAATGCTGACTAGCCAAACTAGTCCAATCAGCAAGCTCTGGATTCAATTGAGATCCTACCTCAATGAGTAAGGTGGAGAGGGATCCAGGAAGACACCTCATGTCAAGTTGGGGCCTCCAGAAAAACTCAAATACACACACACATTCAAACAAGCATAAATGTACCCGACCATACCACACCACACCCACCCACCCCCACTCTTTCTCCCTCTCTCTAAAAAAAAAGGAAAAAGAAAAAAAGGATTCAAAAAGTATTGCTTTTACCTCAAAACAAGAAGCACTTTCAATGTGGCAGCCTTGAAAACAAGGGAACCATCCTTTCAGTATTCCACTCTTTAATAAGCAAATATAGATCCCTATGACATCTGAATGACTATGTAGTAATTTGACCCTAAAAATGTCTGTCTGAAGGAGGAACTCAGTGAGTTTCAACTCCAGTACCACAAAAAGTGAAAAAATAACATCTGCTCCCCTTTAAAAAAAAAGTGAAAGGAAGAAAGAAAGAAAGAAAGAAAGAAAGAAAGAAAGAAAGAAAGAAAGAAAGAAAGAAAGAAAGAAAGGAAGGAAGAAAGAAAGGAAGGAAAGAAAAGCCCAGAAGGCCAGAGGGCCAAGCATGATGGCACACGCCTACCATCTCAGTACTTAGGTGAAAGTGGGAAGATCAGTTCGCTTAAGACCACAGATCAAGGCTGGGCTACAAGAGACCTTGTCTCAATTAAAAAAAAACAAAAAACAAAAAAACAAAAACAAGTACAAAAGGGAGTGAAGGGAGAGAGGGGAAGGGGATCAGAGAAAGAATTCATGCAAATAAAATTAAGGTTACTATTTTACTTTGTGCCAAAAGTACTATTATACACACTTTACAAGATATTACAAAATGCAAATATATTTCAGAAACCTCTAATTCTGACTTACCTTTCTAATGGAATATAGTGAGCTTACAATCGATACTATGGACATAATCACAATGGCTAGGGCATAGTAATAGTATTCATCAATGCTCCACAGTATAACACTGAACAGCTGAAAAATGTAAAATGGGTTGAGAACCTAAAAAACAAGATATATTAAAAGTCAAAAAAATGGAATATTTATAAACATGCAGGCTGATTCTCCATCATTTCACTGGAGAAGAAACCAATCACATACTTGAAAGGATATGCTCTATAGTACTCCAAAGTGTACGGCAGTATCTTAGTATATTCTCATTTCCCATTAAGTTACTAGAATTCAAATCAGTAAGCTCCAAGTATTTGCATTCATTTAGATTCATACCAAGTTAAGATACAGATTCATCTAGAAAAGGCTACAGTGTGTCAATTAAGCTGTTCTGCATTCTGCTTTAAAATATTTCCAATAACTACTATGCTCTGGGCTTATAAAACATACAATTTTTAATCAAACAGAACATTTTGCTTGACTCAAACACAAATTTACTTACAACTTATAAGTCCACTCGAATACAAAGGAAAGCTAGATTTGTGATAATGGATTAACTTGTTTCCTTTGAGAAACTTCTTTTAATCTTGAATAAAAATAAGACTAGGAAGCCTTGGTAACAAACTTTTTACCCAATTTTATCTTCATTATTATCTTTTAATGTCTTAAAATTGATACTTACATAGTGAAGGCACTTTCATATATAGTCCCATTTTACCCTCAAACCCAAATGAAACATTAATTAAGAGGTTATTTCAACTTTACACATACAGAAGCAGAAGGCAGAAACATTTTCTAAAAGTCAAAGATCCTAACTAACAAGCAGTATTACAAATCAGGCTTCCAACATTTTTAATCATTACACTATGCCACGTTTGCAGGCATCATTATATCTACTCTAAGAAACTGGTGGGAAACAATCATATTTCTTGTACAAGTATCCACCCAATACAACTTTTTATCTATAGTCAAAATATCAGAACAAAGACTGGCAAGCCTTCCTCTGTGAGACAGTTACTCACCATCTTCCTTTACTTATCTACAATCCTTTACTCACATAACCATGGCACTTACAAATGAACCTGCACTGCAATAACCAACATGTTTCCTCCCAGACCATGGCCAAGTTACCAAAATCAATCATATGTCATATGCTGATTTCCAAATTTCCAGTAATACACCACATGAAATTTCTTTTGGGGGAGGTGAAAGGGAGGGAAGGAAAAGTATGTAATAAAAACAAAACTACATAACCCAAATACCTTCCCTGCTGGGGAGGAAATTTTTCTCTATTTTCACTTTCCAAATAAAATACAAAGTTGGCGCCCGCCTGCCTACCTGCATCCCCCAGGGCGCGGGCGCCCCCTGAGCTCTGCCAGACGAGGGTTTCTGCAAAGTTTGACCTGGTTGCCTTTCAATGCTGCAGCAGAGGGCGGCAGCGCGTGGCGCGCTAGGCGGCTGCGGCACGTGGCGGGGCAGAGTGGTGACAGCCTGTTCATCATGATCATAAAATAAAGGCAGTGCGCAGGGTGGGGGTGAGAGAGCCCCGAGCCGCGGCCCTCCGCCCCCGGGCCACCCCAACAGCCCCGAGCCAGGAGGGGCGTTGGGGGTCCGGGGCGGCCTCGTCGTCCCCAGAGTCTAGTAGACAGAACCAAGGGACACTGTCCAGGGGAAGTGGGGGGCTCCCCGAGAACGTGCCAGCGGTGGGGTCGGTGGTGTCCGGAGGGCGACGACCCAAGCACTTGGAGAGGCCCCAGGGGCAGGTCCTCAACTGCCCAGGCTAAACAAGAAGCGCACAGATGCCCGCGACAACAGCAGCGAAGGAGCACGCGGGGCGCCCGGAAGTGGGCGCCGGTAGGGACCCAGGAGCGTGCTTTCTGGGAACTGCGGGTGGGCTGCCACTCCGCAGGGCACCGGGACCTCCTCGATTGAACGGAAACTGCTCTCCAACCGATTGTGTGGCCGGGTGTGTGTGCGCAGGCAACTGAGCCTTCCTTATTTATGTGCCTGGATGGAGGGCTGGATGTCAGAACAACATGTTTATCCATTAAACTGCAAACTTTCTTGTTTTTAAACCCAAAGAATATCGGTGGCTTTTGCCCACTGCTAGGAGAGTGTCCAGGGCTCTTGAGATGCAGCAGATTCCTTATTTATAACCAGGCCCTGGTAGTGCTATGCAAAACCCTGCCACTCAGTAAAGTTCTCTGTCCTATGGATATTGGTCTTGAGCTTTGACATTAGATTGCACCCTCTGCACTGGGTCCTGCAACCCTCCGTCCTTTCAATGCCCTGTTATTTCTGGGACTGCTGGCCTTCCCTGGAGATTAGAGCGGTCTTGTGTGCCATGGGCTGTATTCAGAGCATCAGAGGCAAAGCCAGAGTCTTCTGAGAAGGGATCACAGTGATTGATATGAAAGCCTCCATCGACCCCATCCCCACCAACATCGTCAAGTCCTCCTGCGTGCTGTTGCGCTACCGGACCCCCCACTTCCGGGCCTCTGTCCAGGTGATCATGCCACCCATGCCCAAGAAGGAGACTTGGATTGTTGGCTGGATTCAGGCATGTAGTCATATGGAGTTCTATAACCAGTACGGGAAGCAAGGCATGTCCAGCTGGGAGCTCCCTGATCTTTAGACGGGCAAGATCGAGGCCATCAGTGACTCAAACGGGGTGAACTACCCCTGGTACGGTAACACCAGCGAAACCTGTACAATCGTGGACCCCACAGAGAGATTCCAAGTTCATCATCAGCATGAATGATAACTTTTATGCCAGTGTCTTCTGGGCGGTGCCCTGTCAGCGAGAGCAACGTGGCTAAACTGACCAACATCTACGGGGTTCAGAGATTTACTATGAGGCTGGAGGCCACCAACACCTCAACCAATGACACGATCATCCTTCAGACGCTGCACTGGCGCATGCAGCTCAGCATTGAGGTGAACCCCAACCGGCCTCTGTGCCAGTGCTCCCGACTGCGGGAGCCCATGGCTCAGGACCAGCCCAAAATCCTGAGCAAAAACGAACTTATCCTGCCCAGCGCCCTGGTCAAGCCCAATGCCAATGACGCTCAGGTCCTCATGTGGCGGCCCAAGTACCGGGAGCCACTAGTGGTGATTCCACCCAAGCATCAATAACAGCCAGGCCACCAACGAAGTCAGACTAACAATACTACCGCTCAGAAGGAGAAACCCAGATGCCCTCTCCAGTCATTCAGAAAAATACAACCATTCTACCTTGTCTAGGGACAGATCTCAAAAACAACAACAACAACAACAACAACAACAAAAACCAGCAACAAAAAAGCAAAGTTATGAAACAGAAAGTCAAGAGTACATCTTGGCTCTTTCCAAATCAATGACTGTTATCACAAATGTGAGGTTATATACAACAGTCTTACCTCTTTAATTAGAAGCTTAAACACAGAAGGCACTTTCACAGCAATTTCATTTACTCCATAAAGCAACTTTCTATAACAGGAAAACAGAATAACTCTATTAATATAGTTTAGGATAGGTATTGCATTAGACATGGTTCAAGCCAGATTGTTTTTAGAGTCTGTTTTTTAAAGTTTTTCCATGACTAAGATTTCCTACTTAAAAAAAAATGCTAAAACATAAAAGTTACCTACATTATATATTATTCAAATAAGTTAACACTGAAAAACTATGCTGTTAGTATTTTATTTCACTGTCTCTCATCTTAATATGTGACAAGAATCCTTCTTACTAATCAGAAATAGCCACCTAAGCAAAAGGTTCATTTTATTGTTATATCAAGACTGCCCAGGCTGACTTCAAAAAGATGGGAATCCTCCTATCTAGGCCTCTCAAGTGCTGGGACTATAGATATAAGCCACAATGCCTCTCTCTCTCTCTCTCTCTCTCTCTCTCTCTCTGTCTTTGTGAGTTCAGGTCTCCCTGTAGCCTCAGCTGACCTTTTCCTCAGATCAGCTTACATCTGCCTCAGAAGTGCTGAGATTAAAGGCGTGCACCACCACGCCCAGCTAAGAATCTCTTATTGAACAAATTTTAGGAAACTTTTTGTAAGAAATCAAATAACTTTGAGGGAACTGGCACTATTGCTTTTTCTATTGAGACTATTTCACTAAGAGAGTTCATTTTAGCTGGGCATGGGAGCACACGCCTTTAATCCCAGCACTTGGGAGGCAGAGGCAGGCAGATCTCTGTGAGTTCAAGGCCAGCCTGGTCTACATAGTGAGTTCCAGGCCAGCTGGGGCTACAGGGAGACCCTGTCTCAAAAAGACCAAAAAAAAAAAGAGAGAGTTCGTTTTAAAATATTGTACATTTGAAATCTTTTAGAAGATGCTATTAAAAAGTTGCTTAGGGGGCTGAGGTTGCTGCTTCCTAGCATGCAGGAAGCCCTGGGTTCAATCCCAAGAACAGCAGAAGATCAAGCATGGTGGCACATGCCTGTAACCTCAGCACTTGGGAGGCAGAGACAAGGAAATCAGGAGTCCAAGGCCATTCTTGGCTATATAGTTGAGTTGGAGGTTAGGCTGGGCTACATAAGAACTTGTCTTAAAAAAAAAGTTGCTCAGGGCTTGATGATATAGCTCAGTAGTACTGTGCTTGCCTAGCACATATGTGTGAGGTCCTGAATTCCATTTCCAGTCGTGCCCCTTCTCCCAAACCCATAAATCCTTCCCCTTAATCTCTTGTAATAGTACACTGTACGATACTGTAATTTTAGCCTTTTGTAATGTGCCATGTCTGAATGAACAGTTTTTGTTCAAATGCTGAAAAAACATGCATGTATCTTTAAAATATGCAACACACCAGCATATTTTATACTTTTACAAAGAACACAATGAAAAAAGTATGGCTCCTAGTTTCATACGTTCATAGCAGTGACTCCCAGATCATGCTTATAATTCCCATTTCAGAAAATCTAAGATGTTACCAATTTACAAAGCATACCATTATTTTATGTATAACCAAGAAAGATAAAACTTCTGTCAAGCAAAGGATGATACTGTATTACACATCCCAGTTTTAGAGAGAGGAAAATATGAGAATATTTGCATCTTAGAATTGATGAAATATGGTATAATTTAAGAGATATCAACTTTAACATTTTTATAATTCTTAAACAGAGTTTTACTCAAAGTATCAGTAAGGTTTCAACTACTAGTCTGTAGTATTCAAATACCTGTTGATATGCATTATATGGTAAAGGATTGGCTGTATATAGTTCTGAATTTAGGTATCTTGAAAACAGCGCTAACTTTAGTTGGATAAAAATTACCTGTAGGCATGCATCCCCTTTGTCAGTCCTGCACTATGCTTTTCATAAATTGATGTACAAGAAACACCTTCATCCAGTCCCCTAAATAAATCCAAAGTTTTTACTTTAAACAAAGTTTAAAATATCCAAATTTATTAATGCCTCATTTTTCTATATGCTTGATTTTAAGAATTTAAAAACTTCCTTACAAGTTTCTTAGAAATCTTTAACAAGAAATTTAGAAATGAGAATTTTTAAATCTCAAATTCTTAAAAGAAACAATAATGAATGACCTAAGTCTCAGACTCAACTAAGTTTTATTCACTGCATTTGTCACAGCTCTAAATACTCATGTTTATATAGTATCATTATCTTTAACAAGTTGCAAAGCTACCAATTAATTAAACTAATAAAACTTAAAATTAAAGCATAATTAATGAGAATTCTAAAGGTTTAACTTTTTACTTATCAGTTTCCACGTTAAAAATTTTAGCTTTAATCTACGAAATCCTATTCACTTCCTTCCATCTCCACAAAGCACCAATCTAAATCTTTTTCTGAGCTAATACATACCTTGGTTTAGAGTACAGAACTTATGATCATAAATTGCAAAGACCTAGAATAATACCTACTAGACCTCACTAGCACCTACTTTTCCACCAAATATCACAATTATGCTTATTGAAACTGTGACACCAAGCAACTCTAAAAGTAAAAAGACTTAAACACGTATTTAATTCCAATTCCTTTCTACAATTTACACAACAGTTAAGCTAAGCTCTACAATTCATTGCTATCACTGGGTAAGTTTAAACTTAACAGGTTTCAATGCCTGGCAGAGCCCATACAACAAATATATTCAACACTTTTCCCACTGAAGCTGATGACCTCTCCAGGAGGCAGTAGGGACAGATAGGAACCAGCACCTACATTTTTAACGAGATTATAGGTCAGTGGCATTTTTCCTTAAAGCAACAGCTCTTAATCTTTTGAATTAGGCTTGTGAAAATGGCCAGGCCCATTCAGGAACATTCTTATTTGTTAGCATGCCAGGTAAAACAACAGGCATTAATATCTGAAAAAGTCTTGATTTCTTGTTTCTGTTACACTTAAAAAGTCCTCCACTCTCTAAAGCAAAGATATTTAATCATTTTTTTTAAAACAACTGCTCTTAATAATAGTTACAAGAGGAATCCTTGGGAAATCTACAAAAGGAAGATCACTTGAGCCCAGAAATTTGGGGACAATATGGGCAACATACCCAGACCCCATCTCTTAAAGAATGCCTAATCCAAATTATTTGTATAACTCAAACTCTCTACAAAAACAGAAAAAAATTTAAGGTATTACTCCAATTTATCCCATCCAAGGGTCACACATTTGTCAGTGTCTTGTTTCTTATCCAGATAGTAAAACTTTCAATTTACAAAGTACTTGATTCCTCAAATACAAATAGGACTGTCAACACAGGAAGCAATTAATTCAGATACTCAAGACAGAGCATGAGGGCAGATCAGTGGGAGAAATGCTGTTTATTAGCATGCTTGATTGAGTCCTATGGTTAACCCTCAGCCCAGTGCACACCAAAAACAAAACAAAACAATGCTAAATACGTATGTATGAGGTACACTCTAATTTACTTTGAAGTGAACATGAAAAGAATGCAAGAATCCAAACCCAGTAGACTAACTCTGCTCCTATTCCTGGCAATAGGGTCTTTACCATGCAGTCCAGGCTGGTCTGGAATTTGAGGTCTTTGTGTACCTCAGCCTCCTGAGTGCTGCACTCACAGGCACGCATCACTATACTCAGCCTGCTTTTAAATTTTATGCAAATTTTGTCAAGGTTGTACAAGTTACAAGTGAGACTTACTTAAAAATGGTCAATAAATCTTAGATAAAATTGGAGCAATGTTAATGATAAATGAAGAGTTACAAAATACAAACCTCATTAACTTTTTTAACACTAGAATGGAGTCTCTTTTTACTACAACATTTTCAGGATAGTCATAATATAATACAAGCAAAACAAAGATACTTACTTTAAGAAATCAAAATTGTGAATGGTATCATTCCAGAAATATTTTATGCTATGGTGGGTAAAATAACGAATCTGTGGAACACATAAATATTACATCAAAGAGCTTATCATCATCACTTCTTGTAACATGCAATTTATTTCTTCTATTAACACTTAAAAACTGACATATTTTACAAGAATATAAACTAATCTCAAACAGTAACTATAAATATAAAATTATAAGCTATATGATAGTATAAAATGTTAATAATGGTTCTTCAAAGAAACTTTGACACTAGATCACAGTACCTGTTGTGACTGAGTCTGTGAATGTTTGTTCATCTCACGCCTATTTTCTTCAGCTAGATTCTCAGTTAAATGAACTGCATGGCCATTAGAAATCTTAACTAAAGATTTTGTATCCAAAGTTGGTTTACTTTCCAGAGGAAGAAAGCGAATTTTTGCACAAAACCACATTTTGAATTCATCCTTGGAAGAAGGGGAGAAAGGTCAAGAGTCAATTATGTATATTGTATAATTAACTGTATTTAATCCCAAATTATCCATTTAGCCATCTATTGCTGAGAAAATAAATGTCATTCCCTACTCATTCAAAGTGAAAAATATCATTACTTTTATGGCATATTTACCAGTACAAACATCAATACATTCCATACAAATCACAATTCCTTAATTTACCTAAGTATATATTGAACACTAAATGTGACAGTCTCTTATAAAATGCTTCCAAGTTAGGGTTTAAACAAGCTGTCCGAGACACAGCATCACAGAGTGTAGAGGAAGCTGGTCTAGTCAATGAGTGGTCTGGGATATAATCCTAAAAGGACAAAATATCTAATAAATCAAGAGCTAAAAATAAAAAGAGGATAACATCATCAGCTTAAAGACTTCTTTAAAGTCTAATCACCTAACAGTATTCACACTTCAGTCATACTGTACCAGACTTTACATTCTCCATTATGCCCTAGCAATGATGTTCCAGTTTTACTATTCTGAAATAGGTTACACAAAACCATTATTTCACTTCTTGAATAATCGGCTACTCATAAATACATAGACTTACAGTAGTCCTTAACAGCACCACTTCACAGTCTTTAACTGCAGTTCTAATACAGGTAGCTTTTACCCGCCACTCAGGCATCCAGTAGAGGAGGAGGAGGAGAAACCCACCAGTGCAGATCACACCTAAAGAAACAATGACAAGCTTCCAGCGGCATAAGTTATAGCCATGTATCTCCTGCAAGGACACAGTAATCACATGAATTAGCAAATGCTACAAGAGATAAAACAGATACATTAAAGCTAAATACTTTTGTCTTGTCACAAACTGTATTTTCCCACGGTGTGGTGACACACACTTGTAATCCCAGCACTTGGGGGAGGCAGCACGGAGCTCTGTGAGATTGAGGATAGCCTGATCTAAGAGTTTCCAAACCAGCTGGAGATATAGGGAGACCCAGGCTCAAAAAAACACAAAAATACAAACTAATTTTCTCAACTGATAATTTACCAATACATTTTTATGGTTTTAATTCTACATGTTTAATAAATTATTTCCCGCTAACACAGATTTCATATTTAGTATACTTTCTTACAATTTTTATTATTTCATTTTTATAGACCTTTTTAATTCTTCCAGATAGTTTAATAAAGTTTTCATTCTGCAATAATTTTAGACATACACAAGTAGTAAAAAAAACAATTAACATTCTTATTGCCTCTTCATCCAATTTCCGCCACATTTGTCAAAAACGCACATTACTATTAATTATACTCAGTGTTTAGATTTCACCATTTTTTCCACTCATATCTCATTTGATGACTGGACTTAGGTTCCTGGGCCAGTAAGACGGCTCAGTGGGTAAAAGAGCTTGCTGTGAGACAGGGTCTCATATGCCCCATGCTGGCCTTCCTGGAACTCATTATGTACTGAAAGTCTCCAATTCATGATCCTCCTGCCTCCACCTCCTGCGTGTTAGGATTATAAGGTATGCATCACCATATCCAGCACCACTACATTTAGTAAGTTTTTATTTAGTGATTTGCTAACTTGTCCAATACCACTGTGATTTATCAATCTGACTCACTAACCCAAATTATTTTAACTATTCTTACATACCCACACACAATGGCTGCCAAATATTACAAAAAAAAGAAAATCAAAATACTGAGGGCTTAGTTAAATGTAAATTTCAAATAATCAGTAGAAAACTTAAGTTTATTCCGTGCAACATCTGGCACATGCTTATACTAAAAACTTATTTTTTAACATGGTGAAGTGGTACATGCCCTGAAAGGCTAAGACAGGAGGATGGTGAATTTGAGGTCATTTTGAGCCATGTAAGGTAGGGGAGGGGAGACAACATAACTTATTCTTTGATTATCTTAGGGCATCTTATATTTTACCTGACATATCTCTATTCCCACCCCTCAACAAAGAATTGATAAGTCATTTGTTTTAATTAAGCCAATTTTTCAACTTTATAAACCACTAATGGAAATCTTCCTTTGGGATAAACAGTGAGATAGCTCAGTGGGAAAAAGCACTTGCTATGTAAGCCTGATGACCCGAGTTCAATCACTAGGACACACAGTAGAAAGAACCAACTCCTGAAAGTTATCCTCTGATTGCCATATACATGCCATGCCACACAGGCATCTATACACACACACACACACACACACACACACACACACACACACCACACACACACGCCCCAATAAATAAAAATTTTAAAGTAAAAAAAAAAAAAAAAACCTTTATTTGGGATTATACTTCAGTATTAGATAATGTAACATTTTAAAATCAACTATAAAAACACCTTTCTTTTCCTTGAGTTCTATCAGGTTACAAGTGAAAAGGGAGTTAGGTAGGTATGATGGTTCACACCTCTAAACTCAGGACTCAGGCTGAGGCAGGAGGATTGCCACAAGTTTGAAGCCAGCCTGGGGTAGACAGTGACACAGTAATTTCTAGGTTAGCCTAGGCTAGAGTGAGACCTTGTGTCAAATTTTTAAAAAAAGGAAGAAGGGTGAAAAGGGAAGGGAATTATACTAAACACCAGCTAAGAGATAAATTACAAATCTCAATTTAAAAACTCAGTCAGGCAGGGCATGGTGGCACACTCCTTTAATCCCAGCATTTGGGAGGTTCAGAGGGCAGATCTCTGTGAGATGGAGACCACTGTTGCCTACATAGCGAGATCCAGGCCATCCAGGGCTGCATGAGACCTTATCTCAAAAACAAAACAACAACAACAACAAAAAAAAAAAAAAAGGCAAACCAAACACTCACCTCAGTCAAGACACAAAAATTCAGATTTATGTTGGGTGTATTCTACTAGGGCTCAAACTAGCCTCAGCAATTAGTTAGGCAATCACTCTATCACTAGGCTGTGTCCAGCCTATGTTGGCTTCTTTTTTTCCTAATTGTACTTTTCTACTCCCTACAAAATTACGGAGCTGATTACCATTTCATCTTCTTGACCCTGGTTGATAGTCTTCCTTTCTTCTTTGTCCATCTCTACAGTGGTTTGAAAGATCCTGTGTTTCACAATAGCTGAAGATAGGTGAAGGAAAAAGAAACAAATTTTGACTTTCTAAAAACTTGAGTACAGCTTGATTGTTCACAAGAACTAGATGGTAAAACCCTAGTGCAGAAGACACCATACACTATGAATACAGAACGTAGTGAAATCAAGCTGGAACTAAGCTGGAAACTTCCAGCTAGATAGCTATCCTGGTGCCAGAAGGTGCCATGCAGGTTTCTGTGGGAGAAAAGTCATCAACAGTCTTACCCAGATGAGGGCCCCTGCATGATACAATACCAACCTGCCAGGCAAGATGCCCTCATGGATACAATAGTGTTATGACCATTATATAGGTAATGAAGCACTTTCTCATTGGATTTGCGGTTCACTCCACAGGTGGAAAGTCATGCCTTGTACCTATAAACCTATTCTAAAGCCCATGGCTGGGGAAGTCACAGGCCCTGAGGGGAGCCTACACTATTGTTTTGTTTTGTTCAAACTACCTTAAAATATTTGTTTCTACCCAAAGATTATTGCTGCTCTCATACCTTGGCCATAGAAAACTAGTTTTGCAATGGGCAGCAGTTAATACACAGATTCACATTGGTTAAAGTGCTGAGAATAAGTACCTACTGAGACTTCAACCGGAAATGGAACATCTACAGCATCCCTTCCAAGGTTCAGGAATTGGAACAGGGAGGAAGCAAAAGGATGGGAGGAATGTTGTGAAATACTGTCCTCTGGACATGACATGACAGTTGTACTCATAAAATTACAGCAGCTGTGGTTACCTGCACATGAACTACCTAAAATAGGGCCCATCAACATTTTATCACCCATGGAGGAGGGGCTCAAGAGGCCCTACCCTCCCTGAGACGCTACTGGCAGTTAATGGTTACAAGGAAAAGAGGGGAGTCAATTTGTCACCAAAACAAACAAAAACAAAAAGATGAAATTTGGAAGCTATCTTATGGGGGGGGGGTTCTATGGTAATAGCAGAGGGTTAAGAAAAGATAATGGGGGATGCGTATATCAAAATACATTATATTCATGTATGGAACTGCCAAAGAATAATTTTAAAATCTTAGCAAACTTTAATTTCTATCGTTTATTATACATCAGAATATTCTTCTAAAAATTAAATTTTAATTCTTCCAAAGCAATGGTGAGTAAGAGAAGTCTTATGATACATGTATCAAAGTTCAATTGCTATCTTAGTCATTGAAAGTGTTAGTAGATAGCTAGAGATATAGCTAAATTGTAGACCACTTATCAATCATGCACAAAACCCTGGGTTCATCCTCAGCACCTCAAAAACAAAGTAGGGGCTGAAGGGATGGCTCAGTAGATGAAAGCACTGGCTGCTCTTGGAGAGGACCAAGGTTCAGTTCCCAGGACCCAAATGGTGGCTAACCATCTGTAACTCCAGTTCCAAAGGATCTGATGATACTCTCTTCTGACCTTTTCAGGAACTGCATGACATGGGTGCACTTACACTGGGCAATAAATACACACACACACACACACACACACACACACAAAATAAAAAAAATTTTAAACTATTTGATCCTCCACTTTTTGATTCTCCCTTACAACCATAATCCTCAGTATATTTCATTAGTTTATACTGCTGCAGCTGAGATACAGAACAATTTAAATTTTGAGAGAAAATACAGAATTTTCTGAACTGATTCTTTGAATTACAGTAAACAAGTATCAGCAGGGAAACCAAGCCCCAAACCTTTTTTTTTTTTGACAGAGTCTCCCTATAGCCAAGTTGGCCTCGATCTCACAGGGTCCTACTACAGAGATTCATCTCCAGAGCAATGGAATTAAAGGTATGCAAGTGTACATAGTGATACATGTATCCAGAACCTTAAAAAAAAAAAAAAAACAGATTCTCAGTAAGTAACCCAGGCAGACCTGGAACTCCTAATATAGGCCAGGCTAAGCCTCAAATTCATGATTATTCCAGCCTATGCCTCATGCTGGAATTACAGATGTTTGACACCAGGTCTAGCTCTCAGAACATCTTAACATCTGCTACATAACAGCAATTTCTAGCCAAGAATCTATTAGGATAGCAGGTGTACTTTCGATAGAGAGCACTGGACCAATCCTGCTGGATTTCAAGTCCACTGAGAAATCTTGTGATTGCTCTTAGTACCTGTGACTCGTCTAGGGAGAAAACTCAGAGTCCACAGACATATTCTTCCTGTATTTCAAATATTCAAATAATAATCCAGCCAAGGGGATTATTAAAAGGAGGGGAAGGAAGAGATTATTATAGAGATTTGCAAATGTAAAATGCTGCCATCTTTCTTGCCAATTTTCTTTTTAAAAAAAGAGTAAGTATTGTCAGGGAAATGTTACATAAATGTTATCAAGTCAGCGATTGTTGTTTTAAATATATTTTAATTTTTATGTGTATGTATATGTGTATTGCCTGCATGTATGTAAGTGCACATACATGATGCAATGCCCTCAAAGGTCAAAAGATCCCACGTAAGTGGAGTTACAGACTGTTGTTAGCTGCCAAGTGGGTGCTGGAAAATAAACCCAGGTCCACTACAAGAGCAGCCAGTGCTCATAACCACTGAGCCATCTCTCCAGCCTCACTGTTGGGTATCTTCATAAATATTTTCCAAACAAAGACAAGTCTTTCATGGAAACAGAAGTTGCTGGGGGAGTTCAGGGCTTGGCACAGCAGTTACACTTTGACAAGCAGATCATGTGGCCCATAGAAGCAGTGGAGGATATCTAGTCTAAAGGCTGCCTGAATGCTGGCAAAGCCCTGGGGATCAATTTCTTCCAGTCAGATAGGTCTAAATTTCTCCTAAACTTTTCCTAAGACCAAGAAACTGGAAGAAATCCTGAGTCAATCAACATACATTTCCATTTGGCCTGCCAGCAACCCTCTACCTAACCATGTTAGAAGAAAATACTATGATTATTGTAATCAAGAAAGATAATTTTAGCTAAGATTTGTAGTAAGCCATTCTAATTATAGTCAACGGGCTCTGTATACATAGGTTCAACTAACCATGGGTCAAATATATTTGAGGGGAAAAAATATCTGATCATGTATACTTTTTCCTGTCATCATTCCCTAAATAATACAGCATAACAGGTATTCACAAAGCATTTGCATTGAATTAGGTATTATGAGTCATTTACAGATAAGGTATATAGGAGGAATATACATGGGTTACATACACAATACTCCAATGTTTTAATACAGCAACCCTCCACAAATACTAAGGGCCAACTACATTTAAAGTATCAGTTTTAATTTCTAATATGGTATCAACAGATATACCCAGCATAAACAAAACCTCCACAGTAATTTTCAGAAGTATAAAAGGGCTGAATCTAAAGTCTGAGTCACTGTTTAAAATAAGGTTAGAGAGCCAGTGAGATGGCAAAGAGGGTAAAAGCATTTGCTCCACAAGGCTGCTAAATCAATTTTCGATCACCTGACTCTAAAATGGAAGGAACAGAACTAACTCTTCGAAGTTGTCTTCTGACCTGCACACAAGCACCATGGTGCGCGCGCGTGCACACACACACACACACACACACACACACACACACACACACACACGGCAATAAATAAAAATTTAAAAATAACATACAGCCGGTCACTGCAGAATACAGTGGATCTATTACCTCCCTCATTTTAGATTCCACACTTTTCATCTAACTAGTACACAACATGGTTGACAAGTAGCAGACACTAGGAAAATTTGTTTGATCTTACTACCTGACAAAGATATTTGTGCTAGACAGCAATAGCTGTTTATTTCTTACATGAAAAGCCAAGTAAAACCCAAATAATTTCAAACTATCCCACAGGTAAAACTGTTAAGAAAATCTTGTTTATCAACCAAATAACCAATAAAAATATTAAACCTAATGTCACTGTAGAAATGGAGACATTTTTCCAAGCAAATGGCACTAAGAAAAAGCAGGGCTTGCAATTCTAATATCTGACAAAATATACTTCAAAGTAAAGCTAATCAGAAGAGATAAGGAGGGTCACTTCATTCTGATCAAAGGAACAATTAACCAAGAAGATATTACAATCCTTAACATATATACATCAAACCCTGGTGCACCCAAATTCATAAAAACAATGCTACAGGACTTTAAGACACAGATTAACCCCAACTCAGTAATAGTAAGGGACTTCAATACCCCACTGTCTCCATTAGACAGGTCAACTAGACAAAGAATTAATATAGAGATGTCTGAATTAAATGATACCATACATCAAATGGACCTAACAGATGTCTTTTGAATATTCCACCCAAGCACCAAAGAATACACTTTCTACTCAGCACCCCATGGAACTTTTTCAAAAATTGACCACATAGTGGTCCACAAAACAAACTTCAACAAATACCAAAAAAATTGAAATAATTCCATGCATTCTATCGGACCACAATGCAATAAAGCTCAAAATCAATACTGGACAAAGCCCTAGTCACTACCTGAACTCATGGCGATTACACAACACACTCCTAAACAATGAGTGGGTCAAAGGAGAAATTAAGAAAGAAATAAAAGAATTCCTGGAATTCAATGAAAAGTACAACACAACACAACACAACACAACCTCTGGAACACTTTAAAAGCATTCCTAAGAAGGAAGTTTATAGCTTTAACTACCCACATTAAAAAATTAGAAAGAGCCCAAATAAATGACCTAACATTGCAACTCAAGATGCTAGAAAGGCAAAAACAAATGAAACCCAAACCCAGCAGAAAAGAAGAAATAACAAAAATCAGGGCAGAAATTAATGAAACAGAAACAAAGAAAATGATACAAAGAATCAATGAACCTAAGAGCTCATTCTTTGAAAAGCTGAACAAGACAGATCCTTAGCCCAGTTAACCAAAAGAGCAAATACAAATCAACAAAATCAGAGATGAAAGGGGAAACATCACAAGAGACACCCAAAAGATCCAGACCATAAGGGAATATTTAAAAACCTATACACTACTAAATTTGAAAATCTAAAAGAAA